TGAAGAGTGGTTATCTTATTTATACTAGATTTCGTGTCACACACGATTCGCTATAAATTGATGTGTGTGTAATGCATTTCAAATGAAGTGTTGGTTATGGATGAGAGAGAGCAAGACAGTTAAGGAACAAAATACCTTAGATAAAAATAGATTTATTTTATTAGGGAGTGAGAAGGGTTGGATGGGGGTTACAGATGAAAAATTGAATGAGTTTGTATTTTTTATTTTATTTTCAGTAATGTTAGACTGACTAAATTAGAGCCTAAATGACGAAGCAGCTGATTATTTGGAGTTTTTATTAGAACCCAAATGATATGACACTAATAAAAGAAGCTCAAATCAACTATCATGTCATTTGGGCTCCAAATTTGATCAGTGTAGTATCACTCTTTTATATTGGAATCCAAATGACATGACACTAATAAAAGAAGCTCAAGTCAACTATCATGTCATTTGGACTTTAAATTTAATCAGTGTAGTATCACTCTTTTATTTTTAAAAGGACTATGACCATAGATTACAATTAATTTGTACTATTTATGAACTTTAATAAAAGGAGAGGACATTAAACCCCTCATTCCCCCTCTATTAGTAGTATAGATTCGTCAAACTCATATTCAAACTAATAGGGATTGTTTCGTAGACGTATTATAGGTGATTAAATATTGTATTATGCTATTATTTATTTAATTGGGATCTAATATTTTGTTTAGTAGATAAATTTAATTTTATATTAATTTCAAAAATATATATTAATCGTATATTTTTAGTACTATAAACCTATATTATGGAAGTATTTTAATATTACCAAGAGATGTGATATTATAACCCAACTCAAATGTATTATTATACATATTATCATTATAACCTCATAACTAATAAAACTAAGTTGTCTTCAACATAACAAACACTTCAACTCACTAATTAAGGATATTTTTGTTAATTTAACAGTAATACGATGAAATAATCCCCTGAGTAAATAATCGATTAGATTAAATAATTATTATTTAACATTTTGTGGATTGTCAAATCTATATCTATCATACTTAAAATATCATTATACTTGAAAAACATTCTTTTTTTCACCTATGCCCTCTAACAACACACCTATACCATCCAGATCCTTCAGATTTAATGGCAAACAACCTACCTCCACTTCTTTCATGTTCTTACCATCTTTCTCTCTTGCTTAATTAGAACCAAAATCTTTTCCTATTCTCAGCCGCTACTCTCCCTCTCTCCCCTGCGTTATCAGAAATCGGCCAAGAACAAACCGTCGTACCCCCCTCTCTTTACCTTCCCCTCTCCGTCCCTCTTTAATTCTTCTCCCCAATTTTCTTTAATTACAGCAATTCAATTACAGAATCTGTTACGGTCGAAATGCATGTGAATTTATTCAGGAAATCACATTGTGTTTTATCTAATTTTGAGATTGTGTGTGAAGCGGTATTACTTAATCCCATAGTGATCGGAACAAAAGGTTCTTCAGAGTGTTAAAAATTGACCGAATGGAACCATCTGATCTCAATATCAGTGAAGACCCCAAGGTGTATTTGCCGCAGGAAGTCAAGAGCTTGCTGCAGGGGGCGGCCGAGGCTAATATTTTACTGGATGGCTGTATTTTATAGCAAAAGTCTATGGCATGGTTGGTTAGTTTTTGTAAATTGACAATCACTTGGGTTACTTATAAGCCATATTCTACAGTTTCTAGAGGAATTATATGTCATTTGCATTTATGCGAATTGGGGCTTGCTATTTTTGGGTTCTTGTTGGAATTATGTTTGATTGCCTTTTGGGTTACATTTTATATTTCGGACAGGGGAACTTTTGTCTTTGTTTTTGTTCAATTGGGGCATTATATATCTTGGATTGGATTTATATCTGGCCACTTTAGTGCACTTGTATGCTCAATTGGGCACTTTGAGATGTGAAAAAAAGTTATTGGAACTGAGTTTAACTTCTGACGTAGGTTTCATTTTTTTTTTTTTTTTTCTGTATATGTAATGCATTGTACCAAATAGAAAATCCAGATCACCCTACTTACGTATAGCTTTGTAAATCTAGGACCGGTTATGAGATATTAAGACGAGTCCATGGTTTTTGTGTTTAGCTTCTGCAAAATATGTGATATGTTCAAACTATTGAGATATGCTTATTCATGTGCAATTTTGGTGCTTGTTAATGCTTTATATGCTGCAAGTTAAGAAGGTCATTCTTCTTGGAGAAATGCACGCATCTATATTTCCTTAGTTAGAGGGAGTAGGGAGCTTGACAAAATTGTTAATTGACGGAAGCACACTCAATATGATAATTTCAGATGATCAAAAGAATGCACTGGCCTTTGTATGTATATATATGTATACAAATTTAGATTTGTATGTAACAATTTGCGATGCTAATGAATGGTTTGCGATGCCAATCTTAAATATTTAGTGTAAAACAGAAATTGGTTTCTTGATTTTGTAGTAACCAGATGCAGCCATTGGAATAATAGCTTGAGATTACCCGCCACATCGGAACAATGCATACCTAGATCATGTCTAATTTGAATGAACTCACTCTTGGAACCAAGTTTTTTTGAGTCAAACCTCACTAGGATTTAGAAACGTCGCTTGCTTAGCTGATTAAATATTGAGTGCTTGAACATAAGGCACCAGGTGGCAGTGCCATTTGATGGATACACCCAATGAGAATTTGTCACACAACTAGCTTGTGTGCCACGCAAGTTAGCTTTTTCAAAAAAAATTCTAATAAAGTGATAGGTGACAATCATTCATTGGACACATACAATTTTTTATTTGTAATGTACACCACATGGCAGTGCCATGTGGTGCCCAGTGAGCCCACAATATTTTCTCCAGCGTAGCTACTTGCTCATTATGATGTTGTAGTTAAAGGATTTCCTGTTCTTTATGTTGAGCTTTCAGATACCCACGAAATAGAAATACCGGCTCATAGTAGTCTTACGGAATCAATTTATGGCATGTCTAAGTCAAATTCCTCTCTCAAATTCATTAGTTGTGTTGGGTGATTTACATTCTTGGGATGAGATCACCTGTAACCTGTAAAATCTTCAGGTGCCATGTGCATATTTAAACAAGTTGTGCCCATTCGATAAATGTAAATACTCAGATTATAATACAGATATTTTACAAATCAATTTAAGGTGTGACATTAATAAGACACGACATTATCGAAAGTGAAGAAGGTCACATTGAAAGTGAAGAAGCTACTTTTAATGAGGTGTAATAGTAAGTTCCTGACAAGATTTTTGTCCACCAACAAACACGACTAAACCTTGTAAAGCGACAATATACTTAAGATAGATCTTGTGGACATGATATAGGAGAATGAATTTTATATTGTGGTAATTTAAATGTTTGTGCATATAAATACTGCCTATGTGTTTGGGTATTCGAGCACGCGATAAACTTGCAAACTCTCAGCTGGTTTTGATACCACTCCTTTTGCAGGAAGACTTTGAAAACTTTTGGTCTGAATGTCCCTGGCAAGAAGATGTGAAGTACGCAAAGGCTGTTTGTGAGCAGTCAGTTTTCTTTTGTTTGTGTTTGTAATAAGAAGCCATGTATCTCTCCTTTATTTAATTGAAAGAAAGCCCCAATTGATGTATAAGTTTAATCATGCTTCGCATTGCAGCAGTTTGGATAGCCTGTTTTGTATCTGCAGTAAAACAGATTGTATATATCCAATGAAAACTATTCTTCTCTTAGCTAGGTTTTTCAATCTCAATCATTGACAAATTTTTTTCCATGCAATCCATTTTCATCCCCTACATCATATCATTTGCTGATTAAACACAATAAAAGGAAAAAAATGAACTCGACAAACAAAAATAGTTTCAGCTATCTGTTCTATCTGTAGTGTTGTGTTTGTTTTGATAACTCACTATGGTTAATATATTTCAATGACTTATTGGGGAAAAAAAACATTCCAATGATTCATAGCATCAAAGCATTTTTTTTTTTTGTAGATTTTACCCCAGATTTTAATTACTACAAAGTAATGATTTTTACCGTAATTCTAGGGGAACTGAATTTTTGGTAGAACAATTTGTTTGCCAACATATTCTGATGTTGTAGAATTTTGTATTCTGCAATATTTAGTTTTGGGGATTGTTTCTGACTATTACATATATTTCTAAGACAAGCTTACTCCTAGAGTTACAAAGTGTTATCTATCAGCTATACTACGTAGGTCTATCATGGGAAAATATTATAAAAAGGTTGAGGTTCCTGAAGGCAGGAGAAAAGTCATAAGCTTTGTACTTTGTGGATAGTGTAATTTTCTTGGTCATGAATGAAGGTGATGAGTGGCTGTTTTTTTTTACAGAAAATGAGTCTCTGGCAGCCTTGGACAACATCTGTTAAGTAGTTTTTGTGGCAACTAATTATTTCGCCAAGTACACGAAAAACAACACAAAAAACTAGAGAAAAATAGTGGTTGAAAAATATCTACAGGTTCGCTATTTTTGTAGTTATTTGTAGTGTACTGGTTGACATATTTGGACCGGGAGTTGCTATATTGCCTCCTATTTCAATTCATTGCTTTGTTATCAACATCTATTCTTACATTTTTTGTTTGGTAATTCTGTCTTTCTTCTCCTTATAAGAATGAGAAGAATGAAAATTGTATTTGTTGGTTGCATGCATTATAGATTGAATAGATTCAAACTCGAAGCATATATGAACTTCAATTAAAAGAGATGTGAGACGCAAATTCTAAGACAGTTTTATATCAATACAGTAATATATCAATTTTATCGTGCACTTGGTTCATCTGATGGTAGGTGGATGCTTTCTCCATGTCTGAGAATCTTTTGGAGGCAATCATTGCCCTGTTGAAAATTTTGTGCAACTAGGTAACTTATGTTTTTTTTGGTGAACAAGTGGGTTCAATTGTTGAAGATGAGTTTGGAATTGGTGTATTCAAATCTATTTTGTTAAGGTGATATCCATTTAACGTGTTCAATTTTCATGCTAATCGGGTTCACTTTTTATGTAGCACTGAAACTTATTTTGCATTTTAGCATTATATATCCCATGTGCTTACCTTTGACCTTTTTTCCTGAAAGGTTTCAATCCTCAAATGGCTCTTGTAGAGGATGGTTCAACTAGAATTCTGGAATTGCTAAAAGGCTTGAGGTACACAATCTTAATTTTGAGTTTTTGAACAATGGGCAAGTGAATGGGGAACCTTTACTGGTTGTTTGTTTATATGGTGTTTGAGGATTGCCTTTTGAAGCGTGCTCATGTATGCATTTATCCAAGCTTGCGTAGCCTATATCAAACCCTTTGTTAATGGAGTTTAGAGCACAATTTTCTTGCTATCACAAAAGGCACAGAGTTTAGAATAAAGTCAACAAAAAGGTCTTTAACTAATGTATCTCTTTCTATCACTAACCTTGGTACTGTTTATGTTTGTAACTTACGACTTATTTCATATTTTGGTTCGTATGTAGCACTGACTTGAGGTTGGATCAGCCTAGGCATGCAACACTCCCCAACATATTTAAAGCAAAATCAATGGTCACAAAGAAATTTAAGCCAGAGAAGTTGAACGTGGAAATCAAATCGGACCTGGAGATTGTTCAAGTTAATGACCCACAAAAGAGAAAAACATGGGTTATTGTTTCTTCTGTGGATGAGTTGATTGCTTAAAAATGAGTTAAGTCATTTGACTATCGTTGAGTTATTTTTTGCTCAACTCTCAATGCATTTCATGCAATTAAATGTTCATGGCTCCCTATAACATCAATATTTAACATCACAATAGATATAAAAGTGGTCAGGATCCCTGTGTAATCTAGGATTTCAATTGGCCTTTTATTCTTAATGTATGGTTTGTAAATATAAAAGCAGCTGAATCAGAATATGGTAATCTCTTGATGTATGATTTGATACGCTGTAGACACAAAACACAAATTGGTGTTGAGATAATTATATGTCATAATGTAGTTAATAAGTTTTTATAAAACTCTGCTCATTGGTTAGTAGTCAATAATTTAAATGCAAATCAAATATGATCATCACATATTCAACAAATGAAAAAACAATTTTAAGTAAAAAAAACTAAAATTGAAAGTAATGTGAAATGGTTCACGTGCAACAACTAGTACTAAATAAAATTACGTATTAAGAAAGGAGTAATGCTAAATGGACTTAAAAATTAGATTTGATAATTTCAACCATTAAATAGGTAGTGGGTCTCAATAAATGCTGGAATTCACAGTAAAATCAATGGCTATAACTTTCATGTATAAGTCTACTTTTTAAGTCTATGCAGTATTGCTCGAAGAATAATATCCTATTTAATCTTGTCTTTTATTCATTTATATTATTTTAGATTGAATTACTTTATCCAATCCATTAATTTCTAATATGGCAACCAAACGAGCCCATAGTTTATTATTGAAGGAATCTCAGCCCCAGATATTCTCCACTCTTAATTAAATTTCATTAAGAGAAAAACTATTATGAAAATCTAATTAATTATTTAATAATAAAGGTCACTTGTTCACCCATTTTGTGTTCATACTAGGCCTAATTAAGACATGGCAACGGCTCGATCCCAGCCGTTTCCTTAAGGATTACCTACATATTTCTTATTTCCTTATTTTACTCAGATGTAACTTGTAAGGAAGATCACATTCATTAGGGTGCAATAATTAATTAGCATTCAAGAGGAGTATTTATTTTACCATTTCTTTCTCTTAATTATATTGTTTGTTTACCCATTAAATTCACTTTTTTTTTCCATTCAGGTAGTTTAAGTGATAACAAATACGAGCTGAAAAATTAGATTTTTTAAATTCAAATCTTGATAATTTTTTTGAGAGATTTATCCCTCATGAACATCTTAGTTCCGAAGTAGATGATATGTTTTTGATTGAACCTGGGAAGGAATTAGTTGAAATGTACATAAACTGATCTAAATACTCTTGACTGTTGTACTAAAAACAAAAATTATACATGTGTATCATGTGATGTGCGAATGCCCTTTTGTATACATAATTTTAATTGTCGTTATTAATTTGGACCAGGTTGAAAGTCGATGAATGAAATTGAAAAAAAAAAAGTTTAAGGGACGAAAGAGAGAAAGATGCAAATTTTTAGTGACGAGTATTAGGACAATTACACCTTGACACCTTTAAATGTGCTTTTGTTTAACTTTACCCCTCAATTATTATGTTATTCATATTGCATACTCAACAATCCTTATCGATTTCATATTATGTCCAATTACGTTGGGAGTCTGTATTTTGTTATTCAATACCATTTTTTGTCCAGAAAACAGTGCTAGATTACGTTGGAACTGGAAGTGTTTGTCCCGACCATTGAGTTTCTCGTATTCTACTTTTCCCCAAAAATTAATAAGAGAGAATATAAGAAACACAATAGGGGTGGTTGAGTAGTTAAAATTGGTCTTTGATAACTTAAAGTTTTCAGGTTCAATTCTTTACCATTCCCAAGGACTAGCCATCCTTCTTTGTCCCTTTAAGTGCATATTCTAATCCACTTTAAACTATAGAGGTCATTTGCTAAAATTAAAAAAATAGTCGGCACAAACTTAAATACTGTATAATAAAAAAAAAGTATACATAAAAAAAGTATATATAATAATGTTTTAACCTTATTCAAAGTACGATAACTAACATCTGAGTTTAAGCTCGATACAAACACGGACACCCATCAGCAAAAAAAAACAAAGTATAGATAAAGTTGATTCGAGACATCATTTGCTACTTTCTGCTACCAAATGTGTAATCTAAGCCCACTGTAAAGCTTCTCAGAGAAGGAATAACCGCTAAGTCTAACCCTCAACTACCTGCAAGTGCAAGCTACGCCAAGCAAGCCCACTTCTCTCTCTCTCTCTCTCTCTGCATGATGTCCCACCCACAACTGAGACGGTTTGCCAATAAACAGAACAAAAAAAGTTTCGAAAGCTCCCTCTCATCTTCTTCACAGAGTGACCAAACCCTCTTCTATTCAAATCAAACGTCAACAACAACAACCACTATAACCAGTCACACTCCCTTCAAATCAAAGTCTCATGACCAATTCTTTGATGATCGAAACCGGCCCGGCCCGTGTTGTTTTATTGCTCTTTGGAGGCCTTGGGGAAGGTTGAAGGTGTGGTGCAGCTGCAGATCGGTATCATCGTTTATGGCAACTCAGGCGGATATGGCAGTTCACGTACCCTTGCTGATTGTAAGTTTGGCTTAGCATTACTCTATACTAATATTGGGGTTGCTTTCTTTTGTGGGTGTTCAGGCATAGGTAGTTCAGTGGCATGAAAAGATTCTATCAATATTTTTCTTCTAATCCAACCATGACTTTTTAAAATTAATAGCTGAATGCAAATCTCAAAACACGTAAACACACGGTTATCATGTCCTTTGGTTGCCCGGATTTTATACTATTACAACAAATTTGAACTTCAAGCATATGTTTTTACATCTCGTCTTTCTTGATCGATCACTGAATTAACGCAAATAAATTTATCGTTATATATACAAAGTTTTTACGTATGTAACGTAGTAGTCTTCATGAGGTCTAATGTAACATGGGTGTTTTTTTTAATTACCATATACTCATTCAAATTTACCGAGTGAAAGCAAACATGGTTTTGTTTTCTCTTACAGTTGCTTCTGTATTTTCCCTCTTGTTGATTAAATTTTGGTTTTTTTTTTTTTTTTTTCATTTTTAGAGAAAGAAGCAGCTTGGTGGGCAGCAAAAGAGAGAGGAGCTAGAAAGAGAGGTATGGGTGTGATTTTTATGCATACTTCAATTGCTTTCTTTTCCATGGTTGCTTTGACTTGTGAACACAAAGTACACAGATAGGTGATGGGTTCCCTACATGGTCTATGTTTTCTCACTTTGTTATCATGAGGATGTGTCTTAAATAGTTCTCAGTAAATTAATTAGTAACCACTGCTGTCAAAATGTATAGCATTATTCTTATTTCCTGTCTTAATTCATTTTATGATATGTCCTTTGAGGGAGATTATGAGTATTCTGAAGGTTAAATTGAGCATCTGAATGACCAATCGACCAATAAAGGGCAGTTTTGCTTTTTGGAGAGATTCACCTCTATTCGATATCGATCCTTTAATTTTGATACTCCATGATCTCCCGATCAATGACTATGTCTATTCCATTGCCTGTCGTCTTGAAACATGTAGTCGTCTTACTTTAGTAATCAATTTTCGGTTAAGATATTACAGTCTCTCTAAGTTATGTTCAAATGCTTACAAAACTACATAACATGAATGGATTTCACTTCTTTTGATGATGGATTCATAAGTCGACTTCTCTCTGGATATTTAGGTGTAAATAGCAATTAGTTATTTAACAAAAAATTCTGAACTTTAGATTTTGAAATATTACAATTAAAAGTTGAGGGATAAAATCGACACAAAACACATATTTCACGATACAAAATTTAAGCTTTTAATTGTAAATAGAGGTAAAATAATCAAGACTAATCTTCTTTGGACCTAAAAATCTGACTTAATTTGTTAAAATAATGATGTGATTGTAAGGAAACTATTAGAACAACACCAAGTTCTAATATTTGATGGAGCCCACTAGGGTCGTAATCAGGATTTTTGTTTATCCCAGATTACGCTAAGTATTCATACGACTAACAAAATATAAATGTAAACTCATAAACATAGTCAACTAATGACCCAAAAATTTTGTTTTTAATGTTGGCCCAAAAATTTTGTTTTCAATATTGAGCCAAAAATTTTATTTTTTTAATGTTGGGTCAAAAATTTTTATAATAGGTTTGGGTAGATTTTAATAAGTTTGGGTAGATAATATTGGGTTCAAATTTTTTTGTTTTCAATGGGTTAAATTTTTTAATTTTTGTGGATAAATAATGTGGATCTAATATAAATGAGAGGAACACACATAATATATTATATGAATATATAATACATATACCCTACGAATAAATTTTTTTTTTTTTTACCTCTAGGCTTCAGCCCACTAGTGGCTACGTCCTTGGAGCCTACAGTCAATCCAAATGTCATAGTGAATTAGATCAACAAATTAGATTAATAAATTAGGTCCCACTAACGTTGCTCAAAAATCAATCTTCTTTGCAAAAGAGAAAAGGAAAAAGCTACAACAAGCTATTGTCTACCTCTTATAGCATTGCATTTGGGGCTCACCATTTTCAATTCCTGCATAAAAATAGAAAACAGTGTGGGAGAACCATACTTTGTCATCTTTTTTCTTTCCCTGCAGCCAATACAAAAGTTTTACCTTTGAGACCAATATCTTTTAAGGAAAAAATGTTTTAGTTGCATTCATGAGTTTAAAGGACATGTTATTAAGACAATCCCCCGTTACATAATCCCCCTTATATTGTGATTATTACAGTAACAACCTTTGTCTTAGGTTTCTGTGCTTCGCAAAATGCTGGATCATGAACAGAAGGTGCATAAAATTCTTGAGTGTCTGCATCATCGACAGGACGGTTCCACCCTTTGTTTCCCAAACTTCCTTCCTCCAAAGGTAATCCTTTACCATAAAGTCATACTTTATAAAGTATATATAGTTGTTCCTGGAAGCAATTCCATAGGAAATCTAGCAAGTTGTGAGCTGTCTATGTACTTAAATAGGCTAGATTCAGACAATAATGGGACATATTTCTGCAAGGTGAATGTCTTGAACAACGCAATTAAACTCCCGTTATTATGTATGGGATCTAGCTAGGGAGAATCATATATACGTAATATTACCATGCGCACTGGAAGACTCTTTCCTTTACTTCAACTCATTACCTGTCTATTTCATTAATTTGCATAGATGAAGGAACTCCTAGCAGAGTTGGCTATGGTAGAGGACGAGATAGCTCGATTGGAAACCCAAATAAGCCAACTACAAACAGATTTGGATCGTGAAAAGGAAGTCACTAAAGAAGTACAGTCCAAACAATGGCAACAAGAAAGTCGAAACAACCCTCCTGGACAGTCATCAATTCCACCAAATCCGAACCCCCCAAGCAAAGGTTTTAATGAGAAGATGGCATTCGAGACAAAGGCATTGCATTTCATTAGTAAAGCTATAAAGGGTGATTATAATCTCAGTGACTTCAGCATGAATGATAAACTGAGAATTTCGCGAGGATTTTTGGATCAGAAAGAGAATAACTTCCGGGAGGAGATGGGATTGCAAGATAAACTACTTACAAGAAAAAGTGGGATGCTTAAACCATCCTCACCCTTGCAGCCAGAGCCAAGACAACCATCTCCCAGGGTAAGGAAGGCCCTAAGTAATATTTTTGCACCCCTTGATTATGTTGAATTCTTTTTTTTTTACATTATTTCCTAATCCACTGTTGTTGAAATACAAATGCATGATTGAAAAACGCTGTTTCAGCTCCAAGAACGAAAAGTTTAACTTGAAAAGCATGACTTTTAACCATTCGTTCATATAACCTAAAGATTAAAAAAAACGAAATATGGTTAGCGTGACAACTCCGATTATGTATTTGCATAGCTTTGCATCTTGTCAAATCATATGATCACTTAGAAAGTTCATATTCTACCTGTGGATTAGTCATTTCAATATTGATGGTTGCTTATAAAGTTCTTATCAACTTTGTTACAGAGGGATCGTAATCTAGAGGTCCCTTTACGTCTCCCACCAAAGGCTCAACCAACTCCAATTCAACCAGAAGAAGAGAGCTCCCAGAAGTGGTCACCCAACAAGCTATCAGAGAGCATCATCAAATGTTTGCTCTTCATTTTTGTAAGACTTCTTAGGACTTCAAGAAAAATGGAGCTAGAGAAATTGGGCCCCACTTCAAGGTCTACTAACTTTTCTTCAAGCTTCAGGGCTGAGCCCAGCTTAAACTCCAAGGCAAGCCTTTTGTTACAGAAAGAATTAAGGCAACAAGACCCTTATGGAATCTTTGATATGGAAGGATCTATTCCAAGGGACGTTGGCCCTTACAAGAACTTGGTTAGGTTCACATCAAGCTCCATGGACCCCAAATGCATCTCCAATTCAAGTTCTGTTCCTTTATTGCAGAAACTAAGGTATGTCTTAGGTATTCTCAAGCATAGGTATTTGGGGTTGGGCGTGCATAATTTATAGGATGACGAGGCCACGGTTTCGATTTCGATTTCATGAAACGGCCTTTCCTTATATAGAGTAAGCTCACGCACGCATGACTCTCTCTCTATACTCCTATAGCGACAAAAAGTCTCGTGCATTGACTGGCTTTTTTTATCTATGGACACTTCTAAAAAGTCATCCTTTAGCATTGACATAGCCTATGTAGAGTTTATGTAAGTAACCATTACTTATTTTTATATTTCATTTTGCTGTTAACTACAGGGTCTTGATGAACAGCCTACAGGAAGTTGACTTGAGATTTCTGACTGACCAACAGAAGCTAGCATTTTGGATCAACATGTACAATGCTTGTATCATGCATGTATACTTTGGACAACACCAGTTCTTACTTCTATTTATCTGATTGATCTCTCTTTTTTGAGACCCTCATTTATATATATCCTAACTTCTGATTTCAGGGGGTTCTTCAATATGGTGTGCCTTCTAGCCCTGAAAAACTGCTTACTCTTATGAACAAGGTACATTATTTTCTCAGACTACTTGATCACAAAATCGATCATTTACATCTAACATGATTAAAAAGAGTGAAGTCCAATGTAATCCGTCGCCGCAGAGTTTGAAGATAGTCAACTACATAGTCTTACACCACATAAATAGACTGCTTTTATAATCCGAACTCTCGATCATCACTTTACATTTGCAATGTGGTTGAATCAGGCAACCCTGAATATTGGAGGCAACATAATAAATGCTCAAGCTATTGAGCATTTTATTCTTAGAAAACCAGCATCTTCAATCACAAAAGAGGTAAATATGATCGAATCATGTCCTATTTAAACAACAACACCCCCCCCCTCTTTTCTGTTATTTGTATAATCACCCAATATGGATTTGTATAAGTCTATGTACCACCTTTCATAAATAGGTTTATCCGAAGAGAGAGAAGGACGACAAAGAAGCCATTGTTCGTGAACTTTATGGACTCGAGTCATCGGACCCCAATGTCACATTTGCCTTATGCTGCGGAACACGGTCTTCTCCAGCAGTAATTTATTTGAACTTTGTGTGAATTACACTTACACCCTTAAACTATGCCCCTCATTTTACATTGCCCTCTCAACTATCAGTTTTCCCACATCGCTTCAATTTTTTTTTCTTTTCTTTTTTTTGGGGGAGGGGGAGGGAGAGGGGGAGGGGAAGATGGGAGTAACTTCACAAAACCTAGCTCACCCGCTTCATATAGCTATGAATCTAATGTAATAAACATACAATGATTTAAATCATATTCAGATTTTCTTCCTACAAAATTTCTGATTCAAAATATCATGGCAGCATTCCCTTCATTCTATAGCAAGAGCACTAACTAGACTAACCTTATAAACTCCTTATGCTTGATTTGCCTTTGTACCTGTTCTTTGAATAAGTGCCAGGGGAAGATACCCGAAGCTTTCCATCTTTCGTAATTGGTGTTCCCAATGTGTATGGTTAATATTCCAAAGCAAAGACACATCTCAGCTCTCTCTAACGGAAATATCTGTGATAGCTGTTTTCANGGTAGTAGAGGTAGTGGTTAGACGGTTTTAAATACTATTTTTTTTTTAAGTATTTATGAAAAATAATTTCTAAAAGTATTTAAAAAGTCACTTCAAACACACCCTTATAGGCCTATTTTTTCTATTAAATTTAGGGTGTTAATATTAGCTATTAGATTAACTTTAAAGTAAAATTTAACGTAATTTCAACCGTGAATAACAAGAGTTATTTTGTTTATCTTTTGAAATTTTAATTGTAAGCTATTTTATTATATAGATATACACATGTGAATCTATATGATTTATAAACTGGTAAATATATGTTTTGACTATTATCATGAGAAGATTGTAATTTTAAAATAAACGGTTAATAGCGCTCACTGTATTAATTTTATCAATGTGGTCTATAAAATTTTAATTCATGTCACTTTGGTCCCTAATCAGATAATTTGTTAAATTTTTTTGACAAAAGTGATCACGTGTCATTTGGTATCATATGCCCAACACATATAACGGTCCGTTTATATAAAGATTATTTAAACATGAATTGAATACTTTAGAAACTAAATTGATACTTTAAAAACTACCCTGAAAAAATATATAAATTTTAAGGATTAAAAGTACTTTCCACCTTAAAATAAAACAGCGAGATTAAATTAGGGATGGCTGTGGTCTAAAAATTGTGTCATTGAAGCTCTTGAAATTGTTCAAGTGTGTGTTTGGTTGTCTAAGTCGATAAAGAAAAATGCATCATGTTCATCATGAGAAAATGCAGCACAACAGAGAAGAAATGGGGGCTTAGACAAAAATAGAGTACTTTCCCTACTTGTCTAGGTTGAACTTTGTTACAATGTTCCATTCTTTTTGGAGTTAATGCACAATTGGAGGGAGCCATGACAGTTTTGGTTTGGGGAGTATGTGTTGGAGAGAGAGAGACTTGCCTAATGCACTACACAACTTCATTGCTTCAAATGGTACCTTTATGTAATTTTTTTTATTGTTTTAATAGTCGGAATTTCCGAACTAGTTTACGTAAAGTCTGATTACAAATATTCTTTTAGTAGTTTAAGACAAAAAGAAAATTGAGTCCACTCTTCTTTTTTTTTTGTCAATTTGTTTTCATAATGGATTCTTTTAAACTTGTTACTACAACGTAAATTCAGAAAACGCAAAATCAATGGTAAACTCCAACATTGAATAAGCCAAAGTCTTCTTTAAAGAATCGAAATAACACCTGAAAGTCCAAAGAAGTGAGGCCGCCCAACACTAAAAACTGTGCATTTCTTTTTTTTAAACTGTGAATAATAAATAATGTGGTATCCGGATGCCCTATAATATTTTTATTTTTTTTTGACAGATTATCTATTTTTTTTTTTTATGTTTTTTTGGTTTTATCATGAAAAGGGGAGGGCTAATCAGTAATTAGTAATTTTTTGAGCATGACTACGAGAGTTTTTGTACTATGAAATATTTGGTTTGAATGATAATTATTAACTTAAAAGGATAATCCGTCACTATAGTACCATTAAAATTAAGCAACGAATCATGTTATTCCCGTGAATCGATCCCTTTTTTATAACCACATGAAAGTTTGGAAACGACATTAAAGGGTTACGACCAACCTCTAAATCACAAGCTCAAATAGTGATTATCTATAATGAATGAACAATACTATTTGAACAAAATTTATTGAACTCATCACTAATAACAATTGAATTGACAGTATATTCTAATATTTATTGAAACTCGTTAATAATTTAATAGTTGCGATAAATTAGATCAAAAAAAATATTGATAAATTAAATCCAAATAATATTATTAACAAGGAATTGCTGTTGAAATGCATGATAAGTTATCCGTTAAACAAATAAAAAAAATAATATTAGAAATGATCTCTTTCTAATAATGTGGACGGTTATGTGCAAGTGGATTAATTTCCTGCTTCAAAATATCTTTTTTCAACCTTAAATTCGGACCACTAAACATGAAAAGTGAGTGATGTTAGCTTTCTTGCCACATGCGATGGCCCAAAACGTGTCTTGCGTCAATCTGAAGAATTGAGGGCATGGAATAACAAAAAGGACTTTACGATTCTCTCAAATTTTTTTAGGAGAAATTACACCAAATTTTTTTAATTTTGAATTTTAGACCTGATGATATATAGCGTAACTTTCAAAGTGTGAGCTCAGGTGCGGAGGTTAGACAATGACGTCAGGCAAGACACGCAGAGTTCAGAAGATAAGAGGTAGAGCTCATCCCAGATGAGTCAGTAGCAAAAATGACAAGGGAACAATTGAGTGTTAATAGGAACCCTACAAGTGGCAAAGAGTCATATTCAAGGCACAAAATCCTCAACCAACCAAGATATTCTCAAAAAATCAAGAAGGAATCCACGAATGAAAGGCTAAGATCTCAACAGAGATCTCACAGAACAAGAAACAATTCTATAAATATTGTATAACACCTCCAATAACTGAAGAGAATCCTTGATGGCTTGAGAGACAGATTGTAAATTTCATCCTCATTTATTGAAATAAAAGGAGAAAGAATCTCCATTGAAGAATGGATTAGCCGAACTCCTGAGCTAGTGAACCATTGTATTTTCACTGTGTAATTGCCCCCAATCCCCGAAATTCTTTGTTACGATCCTCACGAGCCTAGGAGTTTAGACCCAAGTTGTCAAGTATAATATCGACATTCTACTTGTCCACGTTAATTACACTATCAAGACTCATACCGTTCATGTCTATTAGTATATTCATTAATAAATTACATCAAGATCTCCTGAAATTTATAAACGTGTAACACTTAAACCTTTCTATGTTGAAACATTTTACTTAGATCATTCATTAGTTACGGGACTAATGGAATCTATTAAACGATCAAATTATCTTAATTAAAAATAGAAGATATTTATATCTATTATAGCTTGACCCCTTATTTTGTTTTTTTTTTAATTTTATTTCAATAAATAGTATAATTGTATATAAATGAGTGTTGAATTGAGTTTTTTGATATATTTATATTTATTATTTTTTTTCTCAAAAATTAGAATTTGTTTGAATTTATGTCAATGGGTAATATAAGAGGCAAATGTGATAATTAGACTGATTTCATATGTTCATACTTGAATATGAAAAAATTGACCCATAGTGAAAAATTCAATTAGTCTAAGATGCTTTAGGTTGGCCGCTCCTACCTTCTACATTTAGTTCATACCTTTAAGTTATTTATTAATTTAGGCATCAAAAACACGATATCTAGAGCTCTTTCGCTAGTCTCCGACTTCTTTTTTTAGGTGATTAAAGTCTAACAAATTGATGTAGATGTCATCTAAATTTTGACATCAATAATATTAATTATAATTTTTTTTAAAAAAAATTATTTTATTTAATAAATGATATAATAGAATATGATTTTTTGTTGTAAAATTTAAGATATTTGATATTTTATTTTTAATTGAAATATTTTTAGTTTAAGTGCAATATTTTAAATTTGGAAGGTTTAAATATTACACGCTTCAAATTTTAAGAGTTTATATATAATTTACTACTAGATATTACATTTTACGCGTTTATGAAGGTCTGTATGTAATATTTTAAATGTCAGTGTAAAAGTAATCTCAAGAGGTCCAAATATAATTTATCTAATTTTTTAATATAATGCCAAAGAATAATTTTTAATAATAAAATTCGATAAAACAACATAGTAAACAAATATCTTTTGAATATCATTGTTGAGAGAGAAATATTCTATATAATAATGGTATTGTGTCGTAATCACCGTTCAATAAAAAAATAACAAGTAAAGAAGTATAACTCACCCAATTTATTAACCTCCTCCTCCCCCATATAATCTATCTATATAATAAAGAAAAATATGATTCAAATTTCAAAATATAAATAAAATGACTTTTGTTATACGCTGTTGAGATCTCTTTTAATTTTACTTGAAAGTTAATCTGATGGCTAATATTAACACTCCAAATTTAATAGAAAAAATAAGGGTCTTAAAAGTATGTTTGAAGTGATTTTTTAAAAAAAAAAATTTTAAAATTATTTTTTATAAATACTTTAAAAAAAAAATTAGTGTTTGAAATTGTCCCACCACCATTATTACCACCACCGTTGCTACCATCTTACCACCATCACCGCCACCATTTATCACCCACAGCTGCTATTACCATCACGATCGTCGCCTTATCCACCACAACTATTATCATCTCCCATCATCACTACTGTCGCCCATCGTCATTACCACCGCTCACCTCCACTACAATTAGTGCTTAAATTTCTTTATCTTTCCTCTATATTTGTGATTTGATTTTGAGTGTGAATACAAATATGTTGACTATTTTTTTTTATTACTTCATGCTTTCAAATACGGAGAATAACTAGTACTTCTATATTATATATAAAATATAATCAATTCAAGAAAGGCATTGTTTGAGAAATCTTCCTTCTTTAATTCTTATTTTTTTCACCTGAATTTTGAATTACTCTTATGCTTTGTTTGATAGGAAGGATGAAAAGTAGGAAGGATAAAAAGTGGAATGGATACACTTTTTATCCTTCAATGATGGAAAGTAGGAATGATACACTTTTCTTCCTTTGTGTTTGGTTGGATGGATGAAAAATAAAAATAACTAATTTATTTTTTTTGAATAAAATTAGGGGTGACAATCGACTCATTTGTATTGAGTCATAAAATTATGAGCCTTTTATATTTCTTGCTCGCGTGTCAGGTCATTTTCAAGTTTGTGTCATAAAATTCATGTCAAGTTCGAATCGTGTCATCATGTTGAGTCGAAAATTTTCACCTGTAGTTAAGATGAATTTTTTTTAATTTAAAATTCATTTTTTTTCTGATTTTGGAGGGATTGATTTTGGTGAGTTGAAAGAAAAATTAATCTATTTACTTTTCCATTCTTCCTATTTTTCTTCCTTACCAAACATGATGTTTTATTTATTCTTTAAACTTTCTATCATTCTAACTTTTCACCTTTTTATTTTTTTATCATATCAAACGGAGCATTATAGTTGAATTTCAACATGTGGCCCAAGTAACTGCTTCCAATTTTTTTTTATAACTATCTCACATATAAATTTTTCATCATTTTTATTAATTATTTTGAATTTAACTTTTTATAAAATTATAATTTAATATACTAATAAAAAATTTTCTAATGATAGTATGATGAGGTGGGAATAGGAGTACCGGTGGCGATGAAAATATATTGTAAATTTTATGTATTTTACGAAGATACTCAGTATATTGCCTACTATCATTTATGGATGTAAGGACTATTTATTTATTTTTATTAAATAAAAATTTATATAATATAATAATAATAATGACGTAATATCACCGTCGTATTCGACCATAAAAGAGACCGTCTATTCTTAAGTTGACAGCAATTCAAACACAATTTTAGGTTAAAATTCCTCCGACAGAGTCAGCTCGACCAAATTGAGAGTCTTACATACGAGTTACAACATGAGATCCGCGTGAAAACGAAGCGCGTGGATGACGATTCACAGTCTGACGATTGCTCTGCTCTTTGGTACTAACGCCGTCATGTACGTGGACGACGGCGAATTCCCACGTGTCACCCTGTCGGACTCCAAAACAATTATTCCAATCCACCTCTAAAAAAAACTTCACGTCCGTCGCAGGAAAGCGAAAAAGGTGACCATCATAAAAGCTGCTTCACTCTGTTTTCCCTCTCTTTCCTCCATTTCTGTAAGTCTCCCTCTCCCTCTCCCTCTCCCTCTCCCTCTCTCCATCGGCGGTTCTCTCTTTGAAATTTCTCTTTCTGGTTTCACAATGTGAAACCTCTTTTGCATCTTTTCACTATCCTCTTCAGAAGAATTCAACTTTCGAGCAGATTCTCAGTGAAGAAAGCTAAAAAAATTTGAGTATTTGAGCCCATTCTTATCTCTGAGATCTCTGACGAGGTATATACTGTTTCTTTTTCGTTGTTTCCTTCTTGTATACATATCTGCATTTATTGGTTAAGAATCTCCTTTTCCTTACGTCTGTTTCCCTCCAAGTAACACTGTTTATTGTTTTTTTTTTTTGGATGGTAAGCTATGTTTTTTTTTGAGGTTCTTGCTATGATTTTAGGGTTTTTTGTTGGGTGTTGTTTCTATTTGCATTTTAATGATTGTAATAATTTGCATAATGGAGTTTGTTTACTGACTTGAGCATGGAGAAGGAAGAGAAGTTCTTTAACTGAATGTATTCGGAGTTTCAGAGTGGATCCGGAACAAGTTTTTTTTTTTTTGAACATGAGGAACAAGGTACTGAAAATAGGAATTCTGGTGTATTTTATAGGTTTTATATCACGGGATAAATTAAGTGTAGTGTGATGAGAGGGACATAATCCAAGGAATAGCAAGGGGTATTCTAATTAGTTTAGTGGACGTGTACCGACTACCGGGTTTATTAAGATTTCTTATTGCCCAAGTTTGGGGTATTTTTGGTCACATTTAGTTGTGACAGTTCCTGTAGCTTGTATGGCACAAAATTTTAGATGATTTCTATTAAATGGAATGTGAAGGGGGTCCTGTGATTTGTTGATGGTTATAATACATTGGTTTTGCAATGAAACAGGTTTTGGTTTAGCCTAGGTACGTGGGTGTAAGCAATTAAAATGTCGAGGGAGGGGTTATTTCCACAACCATTATTATACCTATGGACATTGTTAGGTGTTGCCCATCCCAGTAGGTTGTATACCGTTATGCGGAGTGATTAGTGTATTGAAACAATGGACTTTAGTTTGCAAAAGGTGAGGTGGGATGGATGTTGCAACCTTTATTGTCAAGAACTGGTAAATAATTTTTTATTTTCTCCTTGATGCACTCTGAAGATTAACTAAAATCATGTTGCCGTAATGTTGCTTTCTTCCAATTTTTTCTCCCCGTGGGCTGCATCCTAGAATTTGGTGTCATAGTAGTATATGGGAAATTGAAAAACATAGAAGTCTATTGATTATTATCTGTTATCCCTTGTCGTGCACCAAATCCAGCTGGTCAATTTGGAAATTATCTTCCTTTTTTTTTATAAGAACCAATATGCAAATTATGGTGTACAGTTTAAAACTCGACAAACAATATTAAATGATGTGCTATAACACACTAGTAACATTATTGAGAAACCATGTTTGAGTGAAATTACTTTATATCTGTGATGAGCACATTTTGTAATGCTTTAGTTTAGGGTTTTATTGGCGAAGTGAAATAGGATGAAAATGAAAGAGCACATAGCGCACACACACACACACACACGATATACATGTCATTTGAGAGTATTATCAACTATGCACACAGGTGAACAAAATCTACAAAAATTACTGTAAAAAATAAGAGATTACAGAATGGCTGCCAAAGTCTCCAACTGTCAGTCTCAAACTTATAGCCCCCTTACGTTATATGTAACACCCAAACACGCACTTTACAATATATTTCGTTTTGGACTAAATTTGCACAACTTTGAAACCCGTTATACAATTAAGTTCACATTTATTAAACATTTCATACACACTTCATCAAGCGATATGATATGAAGTACGTAGACTTGATAATCAACCCCGCTTCATGAGCCCCGAGTCTTAGGAATCTTGGTTCTTGAGTCTGAGTTACCACAATTCATCCCCTCAAGGCCACACATCCTTGTGTGGGACTTGTCCCGCATTTTCAAACCTAGGCGATGTGGGATTTTGGATGCTAACTCCCACCACTCTAGCTTTTACTACTCCAAGCCACTGCTCTACCAGAGTGGGGTGTACAAGACATCAACAAACTACCTAACCTCCAAACAACAAATGGTCAACTACTCAAATACCATTTGTAACAACCCATGTTATACAATGTTTTCCATCTTGGGCTAGGTGTGCACGGCTTTAAAAAGGTTGTACAATGAAAGTTCAAAAAATACACTTATAAATNTCTTGGTCAACTTGGCAGAGGGATCCGAGTTATCGGACACCATTTCATGATGCTGCGACTTGGCCTGGACCTCTCCTGATATCCAGTTTCTTCTATGCATCATTCCNTGGAGCACTTATTTAGCCAAGTAGGTCAACTAGGTTTAATTACAAAGCTTGAGAGATTAATAATTTCCTTCTCCTATCTGGAAGTCCCCTTAGCTTTTTCTGATAAGAAGGTTACCGTGATGTGAAAGTAATGAGTCTAATGACATACAAAACAATAGGTTCTGGCTTATTTCTTTATGCCTATTGAATATGCTGTTAAATGTGTAATTTAAGAAACCTATGTTTACAGATGCTCAGGTTAGATTGTTACAAAAGAGTAATTTGATGTTAACTTGGAAAAGCCACTCAATGACCAATCTTTTTGGCGGGATTTGGTGGTGTGCACATCTAATCTTTGTATCTCTTGGTTGCTCATAGTTTCTTACCATATTGACGCTAGTTAGCTGCTACTCTATTTGTTCAGTTTTGTCCTACATAAGGCTGAAGTGACTTCATAGTCATCCGAACATGATGCTTTTGGTTATTTGCATACAAACATGTTAGATGAAACATGGGAAAGTCAATTATTGTTTTGGTTTCTATTTTAGCTTGAGTTATTTCTATTCGAGTTATTATGACTTAATGAGCATACTTGATTCTAGATTCATATGGGTACTTTTTATTTGTTGGGAGCATTTATGCTTTTATCTATGTTCAAATAAGCACGTTTGTCACTGCATTTAAGTTTTACAGATATAATGCCGGAATTCTTGTTACTTCATGCTTTAAACCATAATTCATATTTTCCATTTTGTTTAGTTGTTCATGCATCTTGTGCTCTTATGTTGGAAGTAATACTAAAAAAGAATTGCTACTAGGTAGGTTTCAGCTTTTGTTGATTGTGAAGGTTAATATGGCTTATTTTGTTCTAGACTGTTGGTAAGAAAATGTCACAGAATGGGGAAGGAAAGTATAAGTCCAGAACTCTAATAGATGCATCAGAAGACAGTCCAGTGGCTTCAAGTGAGAATGTAAAAGTCTTTTCAAAGGAGCTTGTCCAGGTTGGTATGAGTCTTGAACTAATTTGTTTAATAGCATGAAACTGGGTTTGCCTTTCAAAGCTTGGTTGTTGATCCTGTTTGTGATAAAAGGGCATTTTACTGCCTTTTTTTTTTTTATGGTTTCAGCTTTTGACAATATTTTCTTATGTTGTTCATGTTAGTTATCTTTTCGCAATTACTAAAGCAGTTAATGCATTTCCTGCCTGTGGATTTGTGGAATTGGGAGCATTTTGAATGGCTAACTTATTACTCAGTTCTAAACTATGCACCACCGATTTAATATGGAGCAATAACAGAATCAGTGTTGTCATAGAGAACCGTTTATCTGGGGTAAATGACAGGAAAATCATAAGCTTGTGTTGCCAATATATAACGTGAAAGCATTCAAAAGTTTGTACAATAGGATCAGCCAATATGTTGTTCAAGACTCCCTTTTGAGGAATTGTGCTAATCACCCTCTCCATGTAAACCATTCGATGATTTGATTCACCGATTCTTCCTGCTATGCCTTTTGCACACAACTTTTTTTTTATTTCCCCATAGTTCAAAGTATTAGCTGATACATGAGTCTCATTCAATTGGATACATCTTGGTCAACTTGGCAGAGGGATCCGAGTTATCGGACACCATTTCATGATGCTGCGGCTTGGCCTGGACCTCTCCTGATATCCAGTTTCTTCTATGCATCATTCCATGCGTGTCATTTAATGCTGTTCTCGCCACGCGTTCATTGCGGCTCAATGCCATCTGAGTTGATTACTGAAACTACGATCTTGAACCATGTTCCCTCCTAGGAAGCACAGATAATTCCCGGAGGGATGCCGTGGCAAGGTTGGACACTTTTGACACGGCTAGAAATATCTTGAATAGTCAATTGTGTCTTGCCCGTATTTTTTTGTTTTTAACAAAAAAAATGTTAATGTATTTTTTTTAAAAATATATATATTTTGTTGTATAACTTATATACTATAAATGTTAATGGATATAATGATATTTGATGAAAATGGTGGATATTTATTTTGATCTATTTCAATTTTTATCAAAAAATTAATATTTGCTAGGTCTTAATTATTAATATTGTTATAATAATATATGCTCTCTTTTTTTAATATATTACAACTCTATTATTATTTAAAAAATAAAATTATTTTAATAGTTGTATCCTTGTTGTACCGGTGTCCTATATTTTTTTACTTTGCCATTTTTCTGTTTTTGTATTGTATCAAATATAACACCTGTGTGCATATCCGTGGTTCCTAGGATCCCTCCCTCCCTATCCAAATCTATCTTCTTGTTCAGAACATCCCTCATGATTATTTTGCATATTTGTTTGCTCAAATATGTTCTAAATTTAAGGGGGGAAGCTTATTAAATATGTGAAATGTAGTAATTTTGCTGATGAAGTACTTATCAATAATAACAACATTTGCTATTATGAATTTATGATGCAGTAGTGATGCTGAATTGCCGAGATCTAAGATGTAACTGTGATTTGGTAAGGATTGGCTTTGGCCAAAACGATTGGTTTATCTGTGGTTTCCTTTTATGGAAGTTTATCATAAAAAATATAATTTGAGTAAATGATCTCCACTGCAGTTGAGGTTGGTGAATTTCAAAATTTTGGCTTTATGTCTAATTGCTTACTAGATGTTGAGTCATTGTATGCTAAATGGGGTGTCACAGTTCATGAATTCACATATAGGATTTTCAATTAAATGGAATCTGAGAAGCCCTGAACAGCAGTAAGATGTCAATATATGGAAGTGATCATGAACTCTTTATCGCTCTCTCTCTCTCAATGTGAAGAGGCAGGTTGGGGACACAAATAATGTGCCGTTAAGACATTCTTTCTTCTTTTTGATAGGTCGATGGAGATGGTTCTTGCTTTCTGGCTGCGGAGGATGAAGTAATAGGGGTTGAACATTTATTAGCAGAGCCCAACTGCAATGACTTAGAAGTTGATGGCCTTCTAAATTTTGACACATTCAATCCGCAAAAGTGCTTCAATATTGATGAATTTTCAGCTGCTGGGTATGGGCATTTCAGAAATGAGAGCGGTAAAAATATTTCTTGCACGTAGAATGCATACTTGGCTTCTTCCTGTATTACATGTATGATAAAAAACAGTCCTAAATAACTCTCTTTAGCTGTCAGTTTTGCTAATCAGGCATGAATTGTTTTATTCGTCTGTGAGAAAAATCTGTGATGTAATCAACAATATTATTAAGTTGTTGAGGATCTTTATTTGCTTAATAGGAAACAACATTGACCTGCCCAGAATGTAGAGTGGTTAAGAAGCCATTTCCAAAAGAGAAGTTTTTGGACCCTTGGTAGCCTTGAAAGCAGTAAATGGTGATAAAGCCCATTTCATGAGAGAATGAATATTAGTCTTTCGGCGTGTAGAGGACCTGGCAATATGAAGCCTGCAAATCCTTCAATTTAATATACAGAATTTTGAGCTTGATTGGACAGAGTGATAGGGTAGGAGGACAATCATATCATGTCAAGCTGATTTATGCCATGTCGAAGTGCAGGTATTCTATTAAATGGGCCCATTCGAAAACGATAAGCTTAATTAATTGTGTCAAAATCTTCAAGCCTAACACATGTTTATTACATGGGTGACATGGTACATGAAACCCATTCAATGACCTGGTTTTGTTGAGTTAAAAGGGTTGTACGGGTTAGGTGGATTGCAAGGGTCAGGTTTTTAGGTGGAAATATTGTAAAGGATGCCATTGCCAAAGTCATCTTTATGTTGGAGGACTTTCTGGTTTCACTTTCTCCAGAATAGCCATCAATGTTAACTTTTCTTTTCTAGAATAGCCATTGTGTTTCAATTTTTTTAGCTTCTATGTTGTTTGAAGACTTGCTGATGTGTTTCTGTATGGATATGCAGATGATTGGGATATTGTGATTTCATGTGAAGATATATATAGTATTCGTGCATTTTCTTGGAAAGCTTAGTTCCTTTGAGATGGAATATACAAGTGTTCTTGCATATTGATCGATCCATTCCTTCTTTCAAGTTCATTATCAGCTTGCAAATTATCCATAAAGTTGGCCACTGAGATATTTTGACTTGAGAGGAATTTGTCTCTACCTTTGGTGATATGTCAATGGGGATTCATTATTCATAATGATAATGTTATAATTGACTATTAAAAGATCATGTTTGACTCTCTGGTTTCTACAATCACTACATTTCTTACTGATCTGGTTCAAAGCGCCAACATAAAATCAGTATCCATGCATCTAGGCAAAAACAAGAGAATATTTTTTTCACGCATGGACATAGATGATAGATTGAACATGCTGTGGGAACTTATCACATTACTTTTTAAGTTATTTGATGTTTTGTTTTCAGAAAAAAATGATGCTCACTATTGTGATCGTTATTATTTTACCTACAAGTATGAACATCTGGGTGCGGAGCAAGACATCCAACAAGAAACCTAATCCTGGCAGCGCAGGGATCAGAATGCAAGACCTCTTGCCCATGGGGTCTTCATATTAGCTTATTTACATTGCAGAATGCTATGTAATTGTTATCTTAATGGCATATTTGCATTGCAGAATGCAAGACCTTGCAGTGGTGGGAGCTAGATCACACAGAGCGGAAGCATAAAAGCAGAAAAATTCAAAAAAATATTAGAGCGGGAGCAATTTGAGTGCTCCATATAAACATACACATATTTAAAATTAAATTTCATAACCTATTCAAATTGTGTTGTAAAACACAAAAAAACTGGTAAGGCATTTGCCTTTGGACAAATGCTGAGAGGGCATTTCTATGCCTTTGGAATACATCCCACATCGGTAAGAAGAGAGAAGATGGCAGCTGAACTAGCCTATAAAAGGGGCAGTGGACCTCACATCATCCAATACATATCTTAATGTTTCTGTATATGGCCTTAGCTGGGAAACAGCAGAAGCAATCACATGCCTTTTGTCCAATGGCAGGTGAAGTGGCACAACAAAATATTAAATTCGTGAATTCAACATTTGAGTTTGCGAATTTATTATGTCGAGTTTGCGATTTTATGGCGCATTCGCTCTCAAAGAATGGATTAACGCATGGAGTGTTAGAGTGCACCTAGTTTGACACGAATTATGTGACTTAGGGTGGGAGTCTCGTCCACCAGGCTGCCCTTGTTTGTTCATGTATTATTTATATTGATAAGAAGAATTTAACTTCTGTGGCAAGTGATGGATCATCTGTTGAGGCTGATTTAAACATTCTGTAAAGCTGAAATTTTAGAAACAAGAGTGATTGGTGTCATAAGCATTTATAATGCAATATGTTTGAAAAGCAAACTGACACAGACAAGTTGGCAATTTAAGGTGTTGAAACTAATGTAAACTGGTTTGCAAATTCAGGTATCACACCTTACAATCTCTTTCTGTTTACAAATTTTAGGGTTTCCTTTTTCGGTGCAACCATATGATATAAATGCATCTACTTAAACTATTAATATTGAAATGATAACTAATTAATGCATTGTATACTTTTAGGGATGTTGAGTTACTACCTATGACTGGGAAAAGAGGAATCATACAATAGAACTAGAAAGTGCCTCTTCATTTGTTCGTGTGCTTTTTTGTTGTCCTTTTGTTTCATAATAACATTTTTTATGTAATTTTGTATTCAGGTGCTTTGGATTCTAGTCTTTCCAAGGGCGAGAAAACAAAAGATGAAGTATGTCCATCCGCAAGCACTGATAATTTTGCCATCATCATATTGTGTTATTCAGGTCACCTAAATATTTGCTGTGGTGTTGTGTTCTGATATTTGCACCCAAATCAAGTGCAATACCGTAGGCAGTGCTTTGATATGTATTATGAACGGCTCTTTACTTCATTTGACCACTTTTTTGAGCTTAAAAGTTCCCTTAACTATAGGAAGTTTAAGAGAACGAGGATTGTGTATCCTGCCTTTTAAATGTTGGTGTGATGAAGCTTACACCCTCTGCAATAACCAGATTAAGCAGACACTCATATATGGGCAAGGGTTCTTAGTTATTATGTTGTTGACTTTTGGTTTGTGTCACTAAGTGATGGATGGATGGATGGATGGGCTATGTTAATAATGGTTTTACATAGTTTGCTGTTTTCTTTAAACTTAGATTAGGGTTGATGCATGTCATGCTTTCAGTTTGCTTTCTCATTTGTGCCCAGATTTATGTTAGTCAAACACCCGATTTTTAATGGTATAATCTGTTTCTCTGCTAGACGGCCCTCTTTCAGTAGAGGTTTCTTCATTCTGTCATTCTGCTTCAGACCATAAATTTATGAAGCAAAGATGACAGATTTAGTCTTGTAGTTATTTGTGAATAATAGTACTATATTGAGGAGATTAATGTGTTTGCAGGTGCTTGATGGAATGCTGGAAGGAGCAGATGATAAGATTCTTGCTGGAAAAAATAATCTTTCCGATGCATGTGAAGATTACCTTTTGGGTAGGACATTACGAGTTAATTCTACTTAATTTGACGCATCTTTTTCTTTTTCCTTTATTTTTTAAAAAAAAAAAATTCTCTGCTGATTTATTTTTGGTTATTCTTTTTTGTTGGTTTAGATACTGAGTTCGATGACTACATTTCCAATCTGAATTGCATTCCAAGCAAAGGATCATGTATGAGAAACTCAGACTTAGAACACCACTCTGCGATTTTGGGTGGCAGGGAATGTGGTGCTGAGGTGACTGAATTGTCTAATGCAAGTATCCCAGCGCTTGAAGTTATCTCTGATCAGAATACTTTGTTGCTCAACAAGATGGCAAATGATGAATTACACGAGGCTTTTGGTANAATGTGGTGCTGAGGTGACTGAATTGTCTAATGCAAGTATCCCAGCGCTTGAAGTTACCTCTGATCAGAATACTTTGTTGCTCAACAAGATGGCAAGTGATGAATTACACGAGGCTTTTGGTGACATGGTTGGCCATGAAACAGCAGTTACAGACAAGCAATGGCTGAAGCACCGCATATCATTTGGCTTGCAGAATCTGGAGGAGTTGGACAATAGTTTGAGGCTCTCAGAATCTCAAGAGACTTCCAATGAAGATAAAAGGGAAATTGGTTTCTCAACAAGTGATGAGAGCTCCCTAAGAGCATCCAGTGCCTTCACAGATGTGTTCAACTTCAAAACAAAGCCAAGAGTCCGACATGTGAAGAAAAAGAGGGATACTGGATCTGAATCTGTGATGAATTTCGCTTCTGAGCTTAATGAGTTAGTTTTTGGTTTTCCGGAGTCAGGAGAGAAGGAAAGCATGGTGGTTACAAGAAAGAGAGTGCGTAAGCCTACCCAGAGGTACATCGAAGATCATTTGGAACAGAAGTCAAGATACAAGAGGAAGAAAAGTGGGATTTCTGATACATGTTCGAAAGATAAAATTCTCCCTACTAAATGTGCCGGGCAAAATTACAAAAGGGGATCTGGATCCACATCGGTGGTTTGTCGCAAGGAAACTTACNAGAATGCTATGTAATTGTTATCTTAATGGCATATTTGCATTGCAGAATGCAAGACCTTGCAGTGGTGGGAGCTAGATCACACAGAGCGGAAGCATAAAAGCAGAAAAATTCAAAAAAATATTAGAGCGGGAGCAATTTGAGTGCTCCATATAAACATACACATATTTTATATAAAAATACATTTTAAAAAATTAAATTTCATAACCTATTCAAATTGTGTTGTAAAACACAAAAAAACTGGTAAGGCATTTGCCTTTGGACAAATGCTGAGAGGGCATTTCTATGCCTTTGGAATACATCCCACATCGGTAAGAAGAGAGAAGATGGCAGCTGAACTAGCCTATAAAAGGGGCAGTGGACCTCACATCATCCAATACATATCTTAATGTTTCTGTATATGGCCTTAGCTGGGAAACAGCAGAAGCAATCACATGCCTTTTGTCCAATGGCAGGTGAAGTGGCACAACAAAATATTAAATTCGTGAATTCAACATTTGAGTTTGCGAATTTATTATGTCGAGTTTGCGATTTTATGGCGCATTCGCTCTCAAAGAATGGATTAACGCATGGAGTGTTAGAGTGCACCTAGTTTGACACGAATTATGTGACTTAGGGTGGGAGTCTCGTCCACCAGGCTGCCCTTGTTTGTTCATGTATTATTTATATTGATAAGAAGAATTTAACTTCTGTGGCAAGTGATGGATCATCTGTTGAGGCTGATTTAAACATTCTGTAAAGCTGAAATTTTAGAAACAAGAGTGATTGGTGTCATAAGCATTTATAATGCAATATGTTTGAAAAGCAAACTGACACAGACAAGTTGGCAATTTAAGGTGTTGAAACTAATGTAAACTGGTTTGCAAATTCAGGTATCACACCTTACAATCTCTTTCTGTTTACAAATTTTAGGGTTTCCTTNGTGCTTGATGGAATGCTGGAAGGAACAGATGATAAGATTCTTGCTGGAAAAAATAATCTTTCCGATGCATGTGAAGATTACCTTTTGGGTAGGACATTACGAGTTAATTCTACTTAATTTGACGCATCTTTTTCTTTTTCCTTTATTTTTTAAAAAAAAAAAATTCTCTGCTGATTTATTTTTGGTTATTCTTTTTTGTTGGTTTAGATACTGAGTTCGATGACTACATTTCCAATCTGAATTGCATTCCAAGCAAAGGATCATGTATGAGAAACTCAGACTTAGAACACCACTCTGCGATTTTGGGTGGCAGGGAATGTGGTGCTGAGGTGACTGAATTGTCTAATGCAAGTATCCCAGCGCTTGAAGTTATCTCTGATCAGAATACTTTGTTGCTCAACAAGATGGCAAATGATGAATTACACGAGGCTTTTGGTAACATGGTTGGCCATGAAACAGCAGTTACAGACAAGCAATGGCTGAAGCACCGCATATCATTTGGCTTGCAGAATCTGGAGGAGTTGGACAATAGTTTGAGGCTCTCAGAATCTCAAGAGACTTCCAATGAAGATAAAAGGGAAATTGGTTTCTCAACAAGTGATGAGAGCTCCCTAAGAGCATCCAGTGCCTTCACAGATGTGTTCAACTTCAAAACAAAGCCAAGAGTCCGACATGTGAAGAAAAAGAGGGATACTGGATCTGAATCTGTGATGAATTTCGCTTCTGAGCTTAATGAGTTAGTTTTTGGTTTTCCGGAGTCAGGAGAGAAGGAAAGCATGGTGGTTACAAGAAAGAGAGTGCGTAAGCCTACCCAGAGGTACATCGAAGATCATTTGGAACAGAAGTCAAGATACAAGAGGAAGAAAAGTGGGATTTCTGATACATGTTCGAAAGATAAAATTCTCCCTACTAAATGTGCCGGGCAAAATTACAAAAGGGGATCTGGATCCACATCGGTGGTTTGTCGCAAGGAAACTTACAGAGGAGCTTGTATTCAGGTTCCATTTGGTCTTCCGGTTCAAGAAGGGTGCTCGAAGAAAAAGGTGAGGAACATATTTTTTGAAAGGATTGCAAAAACTTCTTTTCATGTTTTACTGCTCACTTGGTTCAATAAATGAAGTTCAGTGTTTAACAACATCCTACTTCTCAGTTTGGCCAATAAGAGGATGATCTTGACTTTTTGTCTTATTAAGCAGATAGGTCAAGTACTAACACCAAAAAAGGTGAGCATACAAAAGTGTGCAAGGGCCCATTTTTCTTTTTTTGGTCTTAATTTTGGTAGGGATGAGCGGCATTGTTTGGGGGTGGGTAGGGTCTGCTCATAGCGGAGTGTTGACTCTTTTTTTTTTCGGGGTTGGGGGGCAGATGAAGAACTTTATTAAAAGAAGAGAAATAAAGAGTACGGTCGTTGCTTGACATGACAAGGCAATTTAAGTTGAAAGCCAACAATATTTATGGGTTTCTGCCAATAACATTTTTGGGAGTTTCTCTCTGCCATTTATGTAGTGGAGTTTTTTTATTATACTCGCATGTTCGTCTTATCATTTCTCTGTTCAGGAGCATGAATCTGCGAAATGCAAAGATATTATACTCCAACCTTCAAATGTAGAATTTGATACAAAGCCTTATTCAGCTGAGTCACCTGATAGCACATATGAAGATGATTGCATCACATGGACCAAGACTAAGCAAGTTAAGCAACGGAGAAAGCACCATTTGGTGTGGTCCCTTCCTGAGGTGTTAAAGTTGGTTGAAGGTGTTTCCAAGTATGGAGTTGGGAGATGGACTGAAATAAAGAGGCTGTTGTTCTCATCATCTGCGCACCGCACATCAGTAGATCTTAAGGTAGTATATGTTATCTCTGTTTCCACCTTATATTTTTCTGGAATCTGAAATTTGTTACTCTACTTGACGTCTGTCAGGACAAATGGCGAAATCTTTTAAGGGCTAGCTGCACACGGTTGCAAAGCAGGCGAGGGGTAGGCTATAACCAAATTTACATTTCCTTCTTTTTTTTTTCCTATTTCTTGCCTGAAGAAGTTATCTATCATTCACATTCATTATGTATCCCACTCTTGGCTAAAATGAACCATGCTGTAATCGACACACTGCTTTACAGGTCTGCATGTCATGTCATTTTCTTTTAGTGATAAAAATGCAACTTATGAAAAAGAGAGATTTTGGAAACAATAACAATGTTTCTATGTAAGCTAAATTAGTATATCTGGGACTTTTCCATCAGTATGTGTTAGAGGAATCCAGTGGCAATGTCTGAGCATGCAAACACACATAGAGGGACTGCACCAGGGACACTCCCAGCTACATCGTGAAAGCCTGATAATGCCTATTTTTCNCATGTCATGTCATTTTCTTTTAGTGATAAAAATGCAACTTATGAAAAAGAGAGATTTTGGAAACAATAACAATGTTTCTATGTAAGCTAAATTAGTATATCTGGGACTTTTCCATCAGTATGTGTTAGAGGAATCAAGTGGCAATGTCTGAGCATGCAAACACACATAGAGGGACTGCGCCAGGGACACTCCCAGCTACATCGTGAAAGCCTGATAATGCCTATTTTTCCAATGTTGACATGCTGTTTTTTTTTTTTTGTTTCTTGTCACTTTTCGACTTTTCATTACATGACAGCTTTTACTTCTAGATGACAATAAATCTTGAGGGACAAAGGGAAGGAGTAGATATAAAATGGATCAATATTCCATAGTTTTTGGTTCTTGGGATATTTTGGAAATCTGAATGGAATGTTGATAGATAACTCATAAATGTAGTAAAATTAACTTCNTGAGGGACAAAGGGAAGGAGTAGATATAAAATGGATCAATATTCCATAGTTTTTGGTGCTTGGGATATTTTGGAAATCTGAATGGAATGTTGATAGATAACTCATAAATGTAGTAAAATTAACTTTTTACCACGATAAATAGATGTTGGCATGGGAATAAATGTGTTTGCTCCCAAAGTTGGGCAATTCTGTTTCATTTTCTTAGTTGTTACTAGGTTTTACTTATACACTGGCTTTCCATATAAAGGCAGGATATGACTTGTGCAGGCTGAACCCAAACGAAAACATGCATCACACTCTGTACCACAGCATATTCTGCGACGTGTTCGAGAGCTGGCTGTCATCTATCCATATCCGAGGGAACGGAGGATCAAGGTCTCCCCAACTGCCGCCGTTGCCTCTCCCATGGTCGTTCCAAGGCGTGATCATTTAGTGCCTCTGAAAACTGCTGTAAGAGTGTAATGTACAGCGAAAATTTTATTAGACACTGCATATAGACTAGGATACCGGTTGAAAAAGGAAAAAAAAAATACCGTGAAAGAAAACCTTTCTGCTACAAGTGCTATTAATTTCTTTGCTATTTTATGCACCGCATTGTGAAGTTTCTCTGCTCTTCTATAATTTGGGTGGCTTAGTGTGTGGTACTTGTGAAGGTAGCCATAATCTTTCTGTTGCGCTTTACTTATATTGCTGATGGGTTTAACTACACTTTGCCCCCAGCCATCATATTTCTCACTTACACAATTACAACTGTGCTTTTAGTTTCACATTGTCCTAATTAGTGATTATGTTCGATAGAAATTTGATGAAAATTATGTCACTTTGGCCCTGAACTATGATTTTGCTTTCAGTTTGTTTCTACATGTTGATATTTTCTGTCTTAAAGATAACGAACAAGGGGCAATGTGAGAAAATTCAATAGCCCTTGATGAATCTTTTTACTTTCTTGTGGTATGTTTGAATCTCTATGTTCAGTTGTTTCGTTGATTGAAATTTATTTATGTTGCATTTATAGCACATATTACTGTGCGTTCTTCCATATATTCGTTGAATGATTTTGTCAAACGCTGTAACTTTCTTGTGCTACCTTGCATCATTGGTAAATATTCTCGTTGCTGCTACGACTATGGCTTCCACCATATATAGGAAGGTGTGAATGAACTGCTCCCGAAGTCACATGGGTTTTTTTAGCAAAAACAATTAAAGAACAAAAAAAAAAAGTTTTTGCCTATGTTCTTTTTATGTTTCTGTTTTTCACATTAACTTGACCCATCATCCTCTTTGAAGAAAGAATATTGTGATGCGACTCACTGTAATGGTGGCTATACTCTAGTTGCGTGGTTGTGCATGCCCAAATGAGGGATTTCTTTTTTCCAAGGACCCTACCTTTATGTGATTATTTTCTATCATCAGTCACATGAATGGTCAATGGGTTCATGTCTTCTAAGGTCTAAATCACCACCCAGCTGGAAATGATAAAAGTGACTCAATAAATGCAGAGTTGTCTGAGAAAAATAAAATTTTAGTATAATATCGATTTTTATTATATTTATAAATATTTTTATTATTGTTGTTACCGAAAAAAAGTAATACAAATAGTTATTACATAGTAACAAAAATATCTATAATAGTGGAAGAAATATTCACAATTTTTTAATTATAAATAACTCATTAATGTTACAAAAATACTCATTAAAATTTAGAATTACGAAGCTAAAAAAATTTCTCCATAGTCAAGTACATATATGCACTTGGCCACCGGGAGTTTTTGGGTCCCATCAGGGTACCGCCTACCTATTAGTCTTATAATTAAGAAATAAGGAGAATGTTAAACTCAATTGGATAATATAATTACAAAATGGGTTTTTTTTTCCTTGAAAATTTTGTGATTTTATTATAACTTTATTCTCTTATGACAATGGCTCTAAATTTAATGTAAACTAGAAAATAAGATAAACTAAAAATTAAGCTAAATATTATTGAAAAATAATAATAAAGTTTGAAAATTAACCATCGTTCGAAAATTAACTGAGATCAATGGGGCTAATTATTTTTTTTAATTAGCTTCCACTGCTTGTTATGTTACTCGGTTTGGACAACTCATGAGATTAATCAAATGGGGGTAAAGTAAATGTTGGGTAATCCAAAATTGGTAGATTTAACAGTTGTTTTACTGTTTTTGATGTCAATCAACCAATTTTTTTTTTTTAACAATCATAGAAAGCAACAGGAAAAAGAGTTAGTGGGGGGTATTGCACGAGCTCCGGAGGTTTTCTCCGGTCGTTGGATTCCACAATAAACTATTAAATTTTTTTTCAAATTAAAAAAAAAAAAAGGAGAAGAGGTTTCAGCTTAAAATTTTGGAAAAGATATGACTGAGACATCCTTTAAATGAGCTAAGAACGAAAAAGTAATGCTTATAGTGGCAAGTGTTGGGTGGTTAGGGCACCTTGTAGGGGCGTGTCGCTGTGGTGAAGTTACAGGATGACGTCATTAACTAGGGTTATCGTAAAATAACTATGATACCGGAATTTATTTTTTAGTATCACATATTTTTTTTTCTTTAATTAAAACTTCATGTGTGAGAATTATTTATTTTGGTATTTTTTTATTTTTATGGGGAACGATCACAAATAAATAAAATTTCAAAATCATTTAAAGATATTGTTGAAAAAATTTGTCATGCCTAATATTTCTTTCTGTTCTGTGCAAACTTCAAAACATTTGTGAAATCGTTCGCAAACCGGTCACAATTCTCTTTTTTGAGGGGAAAAAAAATAAAAATAAAGAAATACTCGGTGTTTGATGTTTTGAAAATAATATTGAATGGTAATTGCAAGCAAAAAGCGTACAAATAGCAAACAAGGTTTTTCTCTCTTCATTTCTTTTTAGTATTATGATTAAGGGTGTTTAAAATAACTTATGTACATTTCGATTAATTTTTTTTTTAATCTGATCATAGACAAATCATTCTCTCATGCACCCGCACATAGTCCCTGACGTAATAAAGTTGGTAATGCTGATAATAAGAGATTCCATGCGATGAATCTGTAAACTTAGTGACTTTAGTGACATTTAAGTCTTAATAATATTTNCTCTTCATTTCTTTTTAGTATTATGATTAAGGGTGTTTAAAATAACTTATGTACATTACGATTAATTTTTTTTTCAATCTAGACAGATCATTCTCTCATGCACCCGCACATAGTCCCTGACGTAATAAAGTTGGTAATGCTGATAATAAGAGATTCCATGCGATGAATATGTAAACTTAGTGACTTTAGTGACATTTAAGTCTTAATAATATTATTCTTTATAAAAACTAAAGAGATATCTCTATAATTAATACAATCTATAAGGGTTTTAAATGATTGTTAGCCTTTGTACAGGGCTGTTTGCTTCCACTTTTTTTTATGATGAAAACTTATTTATTTATATGAAATTCATAAAATTGAATAATTTAAACCAATTGATTAAAATATAATAAAATTATATATATATATAATCGATACCGTAAAACTCTTCTTAATCTTATATTTGTTTGATTCAATGATAAAAAATATTTAAATTAATTTATGCACATCTCAATTAATTTTTTTTTAAGTTCGACTAAAAATAAATTATCAACCCTAAAATTAAGATAATTATATAAAAAAAAAATTATCATTATTTGATCTGAAAATATTATTAAAATTTGAATCGAGAATGAGTTGGAATTGATGAAATGAAACTTGGCCTGTCATCTGATATTTTCCCATCAAGGGCCCACGTGGTGATAGAGGTGCCAGATTGAGTGATTGGACACTCAGCAGTTTTCCACACCAATATTCATTATCCTATTCATTGTGTCCCTCCGATCGAGATCTGACGGCTTTCGATCTTTTCCAATGTCACTCAAACACCTTTTATTTCTATCAGCTACTAATCCCACGTACATAACCTTTTGTCTTTCGGTGTCAAAAACTTGGATACCGTATATTATGATTGATTTTATTTAATTATTATTCTTAATCTTTTAAAAGTTATAATTATTTTTAAAATTTATAATTTAATTTTTAAAATTTATAATTTTTGTGATCAGTCATAATATTTTAAAATTAATTATATATATATATATATATTTTTTACAGTTGTCATTTACACTCTAAAAATATTGTAGTATCTTAACCTTAGTAAGTATTTTTTATTTATTAGTTTAATGATCAGAGTTGGTCAGATTAATTTACATTTATCTCGACTAATTCTCTTTTTTGCCTAATTTGATTAAAGACAACTTATCTATACTAAAATTAAAATATTTATGAAAAATAAATTCTCGTAAGTTTCACTATTTCTTGTGAGCCCCACCCATGCGTTAACACCATTGGATTCTCTTCTATCTGGGCGTCAAAGCAAAGATCTACTAATTTTAAGGACAGTTTATTGAAATTTTGACCGATGAATTTATTTCTTATAAATTTTTTACTTTTTATGTAAATAACATGTCTTTTACAAACTCGAATATAAGATCAGTTAAACCGCCCATGAATTAATCCTAAAACCATAATAAAAAAAAAACAGAAGAAAATTGATGCAGTAGCAGTTAATAAGTTAAGTATATCGAGAGATATGAGTAATAGTTCTAGTTGTAGTCATCGTAACTTGCAACTGAGATAATTGTGAGAAGAAGCAGGCTTTTCCGTACAGTTTCTTCACTGACCGTCTGTTGTTTTTTTTATGGGTAATTGTTAATATGGCCTCTGTCTCCAACCAAACGATCCGGGCAGCGGCAGCAGTCTAAATCTAATGACCCGCAGGTGACGCGAGGATCATCTGCCACGGTCCAATGTTTTGATGGGTGCGTGTGAATTAATCTTTCAAACGCTCACTCAACTCATTCTTTTGTCGTATTATTTTTGGAGTAATTTTATTTGAATTTAAAATTTTGATAAAATTAATTGATATAATGATGTGATTTTAGTGGAACAATTAAATTAACATTAACGTTATTTTAAAAGAGTAAGGATGTGTTTAGTTTAAGCATTAAGAAAGACTATGTTGTTTATCCTTACTCATTTATTTGATTTTTGGATTAATTATAATGATAATGTGTCTTCTTTCTATTTTTTGTTCAAGTATTAAGAACTAGTGTGTTCCACATTTATTCTATATAATATTTTTGTTTGGATAATGTATTGAATGATGAAATCAACATTAAATTAATAAAAAATCCTCAAGATAAATAGTGATATTTATATCTTAGAGATAATTGAGGATAAAAAAATTTTTTTGGCCAAGCACATCTCAATTAGATTATTTAAACCTATAAAAAAGTGGATTTATTTAAGAGGTTATATGTGGTATTAAATATACTATTCATCAGGACCGATATTATTTTTAAGTAATAATATCGGACCTAAAATATATATCTAAACATGGGTAGAAGAGGAATAAAGTGGCCTTGTTGTTATTTTTTACAATCACGACATGTATTATACAAAAATAGATTTGAATAATATTTCTTTAAAAAAATATATAAATTATATATATAAATTATATATATAATTAAATTAAATAATAAATTAGATGTCTAATAATTAGTCCGTATTTTAATTATTAATTTATTTTGTAAGTCTTTGATTCTCTACTCTATCATCAAAGAGATCCTTTTACGCATTTGCATACCTAATTATATTATAGAATTATTAAATATTATTTTGCTAAATAGATTTATTAGATCGTTTATAATATTATTATACTATTGCATACCAAAAAATAAAATATAAACATAAATTTTACAGTAGAATTCAATCTGATAACTACGCGTGTATAATAATTTATCATTTATGGTACTGTACTTCATATAAATATAAAAAATTTGTATGTAATTATGCTCTTAATAAATGAGTTCAAAAAAATTTAGAAGTTTTTATAAAAAAGTCCAGAATAAATTGAGAGTCAAATAGGAGTAAAAAATATAAATTAGATGAAAGTATTTAGGTGGAGTATAAATGATTTTATTATAATAATCAAGAATAAAATAAGAAATCAATTTTTTTTTACAAATGTTGACATTTATGAGTAATATAAATTAATTATAATTTATTCATTTAAACTATGTCTCTTGTTATTTGGAACATGAATGGTTAAGATGGTATCTGGCTCGGGTAAAATATAAAATAAGACTAGACAAATGATTTTAATCAAATGTAAGCAAAGGGTTATCCTATCTAATCTATTTGGTATTTAAGATTGATATGTGCATTATCTTGTCTACACCACTTGACGTTATGATCTCAACCTTTAAATATTTAATAAATTCATTGTAATTCATTAATCTACTAGTTCACATTCAGGTGGTATGTATAAGATTGTCGTTTTATATTTAATTCATAGGGAATGATAAATTCTAACTAATTCCATCCAAAATGACAAATTTGGTCATTTCCTATGTAATATCAATTTTAATTTATATTATAACACCTATAACATATTCACGTGTGATTAGTTATATCGTTTATGTGGTGTTTTTTTTACAACATGTCATTAGGTCGGGTATTAACTAATGTTCTAAGACCAAACTATATAGTATGATGGTATACATTCGAACCCTATAATATCCCTCCAAATAAAATATTATTGGACTAATTTAATGTAATTATACCTCTCAATATCTGAACCTAACATCCCTAAAAAAAAAAAAAAAACAATGCGTTGAGATGAATTTAATTAAATATGTAAATTCAAAGGGATATGTTGACCACAAATTTGAATTATCGTAAATGATTAATGCAAGGGGTTTGAAATATTACCGATGTACTTACAATTAAAAACTCCAATATATTCATATTCTCATCATTAGATTGTATCATCTCACCATCATAAACCACACTCTTTATAGTGATCTTATATTTAGGTTACAAGTAAGATACTGATTTTGTACTTTCGTTAATTTTGATCATTAATTTTAAATTAGATGATCTATAACAAATGGCTAAAAATAATATAATAAAAAAAATTATACATGTAACAAATTTTTATTGATTTAAAAATTGAAATATGGTATTGACGTATTTTTTTTAAATTCCTTAATGAGACTCGCATATATAACAACCGGTCTACTCAATNTTTTGTACTTTCGTTAATTTTGATCATTAATTTTAAATTAGATGATCTATAACAAATGACTAAAAATAATATAATAAAAAAAATTATACATGTAACAAATTTTTATTGATTTAAAAATTGAAATATGGTATTGGCGTATTTTTTTTAAATTCCTTAATGAGACTCGCATATATAACAACCGGCCTACTCAATATATATATATATATCAACCGACAATGGATTTTAATCCCATCTCTATATATATAACAACCGACAATGGGTTTTAATCTCATCTAGCAGACATTTTTGTTACCTAGAAAAAACAAACTTTTTTTTTTTTGCAATTGTGATTAAGTAAAATATGTTTAAAATATTTATGTATCTTTTTATATATGTTTATTAAAAAAAAATAAACAAAATTTCATATGAGGGTATAGAATAGGGATGAGAGTGAATGGGGGCGGGGGAGGGGTTTGAGAGTAGTCTCCACTCCCGTATTCTTTTTCAAAATATTTGTCCACCCTCGTTAGCGAAGAAGATTTTAATTTTCGTTTCTGTCCTGCAGGTAATTTTTTATTCCCGTCTTCGTCCTCGACCCTGTTCATAATAATTAATTTCTATAATTTTAAAAAAAAAAATCCTAAAATCTCACAAATGAATTTACAAGAAAGATAAAAACTCATTATATAACAAGTTGATTAAACATAAAAACTCATAAAAATTATTTGTATAACAAATGTTAAGTAGGTGGGACGGTGGAATTTGTGATATTATATATGTATGAGTGAGGTTTGTGTCTTTGTGATAATTATATATAAAATAAAACACTTAAAAACTTGAATTTTTATCCCTTATATATTTTCTCTCCAAAAATACCACATCACTTATTTTTATCGCATGTTAATCATTTAATATTTGATTAGTTTGTAATTTATATAATTTTTATTTCAGATATTATTCATATACAATAATATACACATGTTGAGAAAATTTTATCGAATTTTGTATTTTGAGAAAATAATGAGTTAAAAATTTTTTTAAATGATATAATCAAAGATATTAAGATTTTTTTTTATTTAATATAGTAAAATTAATTTTTTGAGTGTATAAATTTTATATTTTACCGTGCATTCGAACGATTATAACTAATATATATACCATAATTTTAGCGGGGCGGAACATAGGCGAGGGGTGAATAAGTTTTGAGTCCATCCTGGTTTTTAAAATTTATATACATATGATCCATTTTCAATTCAAATAAAACGTGTTTAGAAGAATAGCTGTTTTCCTCTGCCATCCCTATTCTGGAAGGGAACAAATTCAGTTCTCGAAAGATTCACGAGGCTGTGTGAAAATAATTGCCGTCAAGTCTAACGGCGAAACTTCCCGACGTTAAAGTCACTCACATATAAAGCTAAAAGTATTGTTTGCACGTCAAAGCTAACGCCATTTGTCACCTTTGCAATCATTGTCCTCTACTCCAGCTAGCCAGCTAGATAGTAGCTTTGTGGCTCTCCTAGTCCTAATTAACCCACAACCTCGCCGGATTCTCGCCGGTTATTCCACCGTTGAAAGTTTAGAACTCGGAGCCCTAAAGGGTTTGTCTCTTGGAATGAAGATCTGATTAACTTCATATTTCACAAGAGGTGTGCGAGCTCAAAGTTTGTCACTGAAAGAACTGTTACATGTTTTGATTTTTGCTTACGTTGGACTATCTATTCCTTTGTTGGTCTTCAATTGTACATTTATTTTCTCGATGATAAGTGCTTGTTTTGTGGTTATTTAACTATGTAGCTAGCTAGATGTTTTTGATTGAACATTTTTTCTCTCTGTACGTATGCAATACATACATATATATATATATGTATACATATATATATATATATGTATATGTATATACTTGTTTCAGCTAAAATGGAAGTGGGTAGTGGCTGTTCTTGAGCATCGTGTAGTGGATTCGATTGTGGGTGTTGAGATTTTGGGATCTTTTTGTAACTACAGTTGACGGAGGTTTTGACGCCGTTGTGTTTGTAATTAGGGTTTCAGTGGTTGGCTTGAAGTTTGTATATGGTTTTCTTGACTTCCCAATGTTAGAATTGGTATTCTATTGGGTAACTAGTGACTTCATTCTATTTCCTTTATGTTTTGTTTTCGGTTTGAAGCTTTCCTTCCTTTTTGCTGAAAGTTTCGTGGGTTTATACAGTGAAGTCTACTGTATTAGTGAAGACATTCACTGTTCCGGAACATGTAGAGAGAGAGAGAGAGAGAGAGAGAGAGAGAGAGAGAGAGAGATGGAATGGTGTTGGTTGTTCGACAAGAAGAAATCTCGGAAAAGGGTACGAATACTCTGAATTCAGACTAGGGCTTTTCTCTTTCTCTTTTTCTATCTGTCTAATTTTGAGGTTTGGGGTTTCACTAAAATTTTCTTTCATGGCTCTATTGCAATTGTTCTTGTTTTCTCCATAGGATTTTCTCGAACTCTTTACTGTCTCAGAAATGAACTCTTGTTTACTGTCATTTATTAGCTCCAACTGCTAGTCTATCTCACTTTTGATTTCTCTCTCTCTCTCTCTCTCTCTCACACACACACACACACACAAACACATACACAGTGTATGGTGTTCAGAGTCTATATTTTTGTGCTTGACTTGTTTGCTGTTACTACTAAAGTGAGCTGTACATCGGACCAGCTTTTGACACAATTTCTGGTACCCTTCATAAATTTACAGGTTCCACGATCGATCTTGTAATCAAAAGTTCTAACTTGATTTGATGGAATGCATGTATAATTGGCTTCGAACCATATAACTAGCTTGGCGATGCGCGGGTTTGTGAGTTGTCTAATCCAGTCCCTGTTGAAGCATGTGCTTGGATTTTTGCGATAGCTCGTTGGAGTTATGTCTGTACATCTTTGATAAGGTAAGAGCCTAAGTCCTTTCGGGGCATCCGATATAATAGAAACGAGAAGATTAGCATGCTCCTTGCGACATGCACAAATCGAGAAATGGTAAGAGCATAATAGTTCTTTGATGAAGATGAGCAATTTTGGACCTGAATTTCATGTAGCACAGCCAAGCCTGCGTGATAAGTTGAGAATTCAGCAGGATTCAAACCACAGCCAGCATTTAGAACATCGCACTCACAATTTGGAACACTTTCCTACCCATCAGGGATTAAACCCAGATGTTATTCAGTTTCCCAGTTGTAGATATGGCAATATAGCATATGACCCGACCGTTGTTTCCTCAGAAATGGTCAATTTCGCCACAAACTCGCAAGCTTTTTTGCAACAAAAGGATGGTACGGTGGGTCATCAAGAGTCGACCATTGTTCAATCTGATAAGCTTGCGCCTGATACTGCTTCACTTGCAAACTTTTCGCACCATATGTCATCAAACTTGAGCCCTTCAGCTAAAGTGAGTGGTGACCCTGACCCACAAGATTGTAGCACTTGGAAAAGCATTGGTTCACAACAAGGCTGTGATTGGATTGTTAATTATTCTAGTGGATCTGCTACTATTGATAGCAATCAGAACCCAAAGTTTGTCGGAGAAGGCTTGTCTTGTTCTTTGAAGGTAAACAATGCCTCATATTCACCATTCTATATGAAGCCTAGTTACTATAATTACCAAGACATTCAATCTTCTTTAACTAATCCATCCAGTGAAGTTTCTAGTCAAACTTTCCAAAAACATCTTGTGGAATTACAGTCTAATCCTCCCTCACTTAATCAAAACACCCTCCAAGAAGTTGTCACTTGTGCTACCATTGGGACTGGAGGGTTAGAAATGAGGCCTCTTGACCGTGGTTCTTGGGCTGATCGCGGTGGTGAACTTGTTCTTCTTCCAGCTTATGGTGATCAATCGAACCCATCACGCTTTGATAGTGCTTTTGATTGTGTAAATAGCCAGGCAGAGGGATGTTATCATTGGAATGGTGAATTGGGTTTTCACGCAGATAAGAGTACCGAGAGCAAAATGGGGACAGCTACAAATGAGTATGCTAATACCCAGGGCCTATTACTATCACTTTCAACGGTTCCACCATCTAAAACACATGTAGGTCAAATCGGGGAGAGAAGTTATTCCAAAGATTTACACTGCAGCACTGCTTTTTTCAATGGATTTCCAGAGCCTAAATGTTCAAATTCTGGGTATTTATATTCCAATTCGAAACCACCCATATGCAAAGAGGTTGTTCGGAGTACCCGTCAAGACATAGAGCAGACTTCTACTTTCACTCATTCAAGTGCAGGTCCTCTAGGCCCTTTTACTGGTTATGCCACCATATTGAAGAGTTCGAGATTTTTGAGACCCGCACAACAGTTACTGGATGAATTTTGCAGCATAACTGGTCCTAACCTCATCAGAACAGGAGAGACATCTGACGAAATTAGGGTTTCTGCTAATATGGTTGGGGTTAGTGAGTCTTTGGTGGGAGCTAAGGGTGGTGATTCGGGTGCCTGTACTTCTACATTTTACAGCTCAAACGAAATTAGTGGGGAAGCTGGAGGTGGAACAAGCTTCAATCAGTGGCGTTGGCCTGAAAAACAGCAGAAGGCGGCAAAGCTGTTACATATACATGAGGAGGTTGGTTATGTTATTCTGTTTTGTTAGTAATATCAAGTAAATTTTATGAATTTAGATCTATAGGTCCGGACGGAGCGGTGTAGAAACTAATAGAAAAAGCCGACGAACCCCAGTTTGCAAGAGATTGACGAAAAAGTAAAAATTATGAAAATTGAGAAATTATAATTTTAACCTAAAGGTTTGATCGGCCTGTTCTTGTTTGTTTCCTGTGAAAATAGACCGAGAGGTACTCTCATGGATAAAAACTTAATAGAAAAAAACATTGCCTCGATTCGAGCCCGGTGTAGGAGATTGACAAAAAAGTAGATTAGTGAAAACTTGTGAATTTTGATTTAAACTCTGTTCAAAGGGGACAAAGAAAGGATGAATTAAACATCTAGCACAGTAAATGACTGGTCAGTGTCATTGTTTTTAATTTTACTTGAGCCGTACCAATTTTGAATTTCTTTTAGGTAACTAGCTAGGTTGCTTGATAATTCATTTTCTCTGACCTAGAGGCTGCATGTTTATCTTCTTAAAATCGGCCTGTCTGCGAGGTTTTTATTTGTTACTTCTTGTTGTCTCGGTTTAATCTTGTGAATCAGTAATGCTATGCTTATCAAATTTTCTTATCAAGTTTTTTATCCCAAGTGATGTGCATAATCTTCATTATTGAGTATTAAGTGTGTGTGTGGAAAGTAAGTGGTCNCTTCTTGTTGTCTCGGTTTAATCTTGTGAATCAGTAATGCTATGCTTATCAAATTTTTTTATCAAGTTTTTTATCCTAAGTGATGTGCATAATCTTCATTATTGAGTATTAAGTGTGTGTGGAAAGTAAGTGGTTGATACTTCTTGGACACTTGTAAGCATTCTTTTTTTGAAGTTTAAAAATTTGAAGGATGACAATCTTATATTAGGACAAATGTTTAATTGTTAGGAGTCTTAAAGTTTGATCATTTAAAGTTTAATAATTTGGAAGTTGACCAAGTAATTTTCAAAGAGAAAGAAAAGTGTGTGAAACTGAGCGTGTCCGATTATGAAGTATTAATGAAATTATTACAATTATGTTTGGTTTGGTTGCTATCCCAATTTATGGGGACTGTTGTTTCACCTTTTCTAAGTGAGAACTATTGGAAATTTTACAAGCTTTTGGTTGTCTTTGGCAATCATCACTTAGTTGGGCAGCTTGCTTAAAGGGTGACAAAGCCAAAGTATAGATGCCCCACTTTTTGATCATATATAGATTATGGTTGGATGTTTTCCATGCTTTATTCTCCTTCATGCACAAATACTTGTTAAACGATAAAGAAGAAGGAGGGGCTTATCTCATATCCCAGGACCACCAATGCATTCTTATTTTCAACTAACAGTACAACCCACTTTTTTTTCCAATTACTTTGTCGAAGCAAAATCCAGAAACCAATAATTTGTGGCTTCGCATGGGCAAAGGCCCCATCATAAAGTGAAAAAGAATAGTCCATGTTAATTTGATTTCCCTAATTTTTCCCAAGGTAAATTCCTTTCAACAGTGAAAGAGTGCTACAGTTTAACAAAGGTCGGACCCAAATTATTCTGAGCGCGTATGTTAATTGAACACAATCTTTTCTTTAAGGACATTGTGATGAGATTGATTTATTGTAGTCGCATGTGTCATGACAACCTTTTTTTTTATTTGAACGGCTCATGACAATGAAAGAAGAAAATAGAAAGTATATTTGAACCATTATATTTACTATTCTCTTGTACTATTAATACACTTTCTCATGTATATGGAAAGGTACACCAAAGCAATATATGTTTGATATTCACTTTCTACCCTCTTTNACAATCTTTTCTTTAAGGACATTGTGATGAGATTGATTTATTGTAGTCGCATGTGTCATGACAACCTTTTTTTTTATTTGAACGGCTCATGACAATGAAAGAAGAAAATAGAAAGTATATTTGAACCATTATATTTACTATTCTCTTGTACTATTAATACACTTTCTCATGTATGTGGAAAGGTACACCAAAGCAATATATGTTTGATATTCACTTTCTACCCTCTTTTTTCACAATAACAACCTCTGATTAAATCCCACTGGTATTGAACAAATAATGTTTGATCTGTAGTCATATTTTTGATAAGCAAATCGTCAAAAAGCTTGTTATAATTTAGATTCATCCCTAACAACATGTTTCCATAATTTATGTCTTTCATTGTACAGATTCATAGGGGAGTCGAGATGGTTTGATTGTAGAAGCATGTAGCTCCTTAAAAATGTTGAGTTTTTTTTCTAGCATTTGCAGATATGCTTATTTCATCAAGACCTTGGCTTGTAACTTATAGTTGCCTTGTGCTATTGAAAGGTTTCNCATCCCTAACAACATGTTTCCATAATTTATGTCTTTCATTGTACAGATTCATAGGGGAGTCGGGATGGTTTGATTGTAGAAGCATGTAGCTCCTTAAAAATGTTGAGTTTTTTTTCTAGCATTTGCAGATGTGCTTATTTCATCAAGACCTTGGCTTGTAACTTATAGTTGCCTTGTGCTATTGAAAGGTTTGCAGAAGGTACGAACAGTATCATCAGCAGATGCAATTGGTGGTTTCATCCTTTGAATCAGTGGCTGGTCTTAGTGCAGCCATCCCTTACATGTCGCAGGCTCTGAAGACAGTCTCTAGGCACTTTCAGAGCCTTAAGAATGCCATCTCGGATCACCTCAGGAACATCAGGAAAGCTTTGGGGGAGGATTTATCATCACCTACCTCTGGTAAAAGCAATACNGTGGTTTCATCCTTTGAATCAGTGGCTGGTCTTAGTGCAGCCATCCCTTACATGTCGCAGGCTCTGAAGACAGTCTCTAGGCACTTTCAGAGCCTTAAGAATGCCATCTCGGATCACATCAGGAACATCAGGAAAGCTTTGGGGGAGGATTTATCATCACCTACCTCTGGTAAAAGCAATACTACAGGCGGTCCAGCATCAAAGTTGAAATTCGATGACCACGGTTTTCAAAAGCACAAATTTTGTTTAAGCGGTCCTGGATTGTTTGAACCCCAACAACACGTCTGGAGGCCCCAAAGAGGCCTACCAGACCGGGCTGTGGCTGTTCTTAGAGCTTGGTTGTTTGACCATTTCCTTCACCCGTAAGTCTCTCTCTCTCTCTCTCTCTCTTGCATGTGAGCTTGTGCACTCAAATTGTTTCACTTTAACTTAATGTGAATGTCATTTGTTGCACATAGGTATCCAACAGACACGGACAAGCATATGTTGGCCACCCAAACTGGTTTATCTCGAAACCAGGTAGGATCGGATGGTGATTATTATTGTGTTTTGAGGTTCTTCAATGAAGTTGAGGGCTTAGCACATGAATGAAATGAAAAATATTATTTGAACTTAATTTGAGGGTCTAATTAAATATGGCCATTTGATTGAAAGTGAGTTTCATCTAAGTTTGAAATTCATAGTTAATCAAATAGTTACATTGAATTAGGTCCCTATAAGATTGCTTAGATAAAATTGTATAGGAAATGCTATTTGGACCTTATTTAGGACCTCTTCCCCCCCCCCCCCTTTTTGGAGTCCACCAATTTATCCCCTGCCATTTTGCATTTGTGGTGGAGCATACGAAAATTGTGGCAGAATTTGTATGTGACGATATGACACATTGACATTAGAATAATGATGTGTCTTTCAAGTTTTTTTTAATCAGAGTTTGCTTATTTAGTGAATGTGAATTGTTAGAAGAGTGAATTTCAAGAGAAAAAGGTAGAACCTAGTGATCTAATCACTAATATTCACTTGGTAAGCAGAATTTGGCAAGGTACATGATAAAAGTTGCATTGTTGTTGGCAGCAATATGGATTTGTAAATCCAAAGCTCCCATTGCATGTCCTCATTGATATTGTGGTCCACATAGTATGATGTTTGACTATTTACTTCCAGGTGACAAATTGAATGAACATTTCTTGCATAACGTCATACTGATATTACGATGTTTAACTGATTTAATTCAGGTCTCAAATTGGTTCATCAATGCACGAGTGCGTGTTTGGAAACCCATGGTTGAAGAAATACACATGCTAGAAACCAAAGGTTTGGCAGAAACGAACTCAAATGCCATCAAAACCGACGGAAACCACACAATTGAAGGTGCCAACAAGCTAAACAATCCCCAAACCATAAACAGGCTTGGCCAATGTTCAGCATCAGATAAGCAAGTAAACTGCGCTGGTATTGGCTCCTCTGCGTGCACAGAAGATGGATCAACTGCAGAACAGTGGAATCAAATGAAGCGAGCGAGAATGGATTGTCAGATTCCGGCCAGCTTGGGAGGGTCAGTGATTGGTTTTATGCCATGCCAACGAACCGGGTTTGAGATTGGGGGAGCGGGAGCTGGAGCTGGAGCAGTGTCACTGACATTGGGTCTTAGGCAAAGTGCAGATGGGGTGCAACAGCAACAACAACAACATTTGCAACCACAAGAACATCATCTTAGGCAGCATTTTGGAGGTCAAATGATTCAGGACTATGTGGATTAATTATAGTGCTGGCTTTGGTGGGATTAGTAGAGAATAAAATCTTAAAATGATGTTCAAAGAAAGCATATAGAGGTACAAATGATGATTTGATGATAATGTTAGGAACGAAAGGAGATAACTTTATGTATGCAAGTGTTGAAACTTGAGCTAAATCCTGCAAGGGAACATTGGCCAAGATGTTGAAGAGATTTCATAGTTTGATAGATGTTAAACAGCAGTTCTCTGAGAACCTATCTGAGAGGAAAAAAAAGTAGAAGATAGAGAAACAAAAGAATGCCAAGAGTAGTGCTAGATATCAGAAAAATTGTCTCTCTTTATCTTTCTTCAATAACACTACTCGTACTTAATTAGAGATTTAATTTATGGTTTTCGTCAGATTGATAAGAGTATTTTATTCAATTTAAAAACCTATTGTTAATTCAAGTGTTACAATATATTACATTTTTAAATTAAGTCAAAATAACATTATTCTTCCACTATAACAACTATACACGAGCTACCTTGCTTATAACCGATGGGCTACAACAGTGACCTGAAATTCTGAACTCTTGATGATCTCATGAGGAAGAGATTGGTCATAGTTGTACTGAGTTACTGGGTTCACATGTAGCATAATTATAATAATGCTAAGTTCAGTTAGAAAATAATTTTGAGGTAAGTTTATTGCATATTCATTTTCCCCAACTAGACATTGTGTTTACACTGGCCAGATAACCCAAAGCTCTCTTTAAAGGAAATATTATCCGATAAAAGTAGGGTTAATTACACTGAATGTCTCAATGTACGAGATTTATCTCATTTTTTTGTCTCATTGAATGTGTTTATATGTGGTTCTTTAACCAAATAACGTCCAGATTGTTTGATAATAAACTTATCAAGTTATACCTAAATATAGATAAAAAAATAATTCTTGACCAAATTTTGATCAAAGAGCTACCAAAATTACATAATTTTGATCGTGAGCTATTCAAATTTGGTCAAAAATTATCCATAGAACATATTTTTTGTCAAGAGCTATCCAAATTTTGGTGAAAATAATTTAGACGCTATTTACTTAAGGGACCACGTAGAAACNCGCTATCTACTTAAGGGACCACGTAGAAACATATTCAATAGTTTAAAGACCAAAATAATATAATTAAAATATTTTGGACTAAAATAAAATAAACTCTATACTTTGAAAATCTCCGATACAATTAATCCTTAAAAGTATATTGTGTGTTTTGGTTGATCGGTTGAAAATTTTGGGGTCTTATTTGAATATAGAACCAAAGGCCCAAGTTTTGTTGACTTTAGTGTTTGGGCCGGCCCTGATATAATGCACCCCATATCGAAAATCATTTTCAAAAAAGACTTCTCCCTTGGCAATAAGTCGTGTGGAAAATCCAAAATTTCCTCTTTTTCTCTAAGGGTAGGCTATGTATGTATGCTGTAGCAAAAAAGGGACATGGTTAGCAGTCCCTCCCTCTTCTTTTGTTTCCTTTTAACTCAACTCAAATCAAATCGATTGAGCTTGAACATCCGACAACAATTATAATATTATAAAAATAAATCACTATTATACAGAAACAGAGAGAAGGTTTGAAAGAATAATAAAATAAAACTCCCAAAATAAAAAAAGAGACACGGGAGACGAATTCTTGTATAAAACCACTTTAGTCTTGATTAACAATAACATAATTATCAGCTAAGTCAGACCCAATTGAATAATCGTGATAGACTAACTAATCCGACAATAATTATATAGCGTTTAAATTTTTCCGGTGTTAAAAATTTCAATAAAAATGCCTCCTGCGTTTGAAAAACAAGCAGCAGCCCTAGGAAGGGTTGTAATCCTCGACTTACCTCTGGAATTTTTTGAAAAGTAGGTTGGAAAATAATGTGTCTGTGTGACAATTTGTCTTCCCAAGGTGGTTGGACAAAAATAATATGAAGTTTCTGTATTTTGAATTTAATTAGTTTTTGATTGACAGTTCATCTGTTATATGGGCCTAATTACTAATTCAACTGGGGGAAGGCTAGGTACCGCTCTCACTTTTTTTGGTACGGTATCGAAAAAAATGAGTGGCTCTTAATTTTTGTCATTAAATATTAGAAAGTTATTCATTAAATGTGTGGTAACTTTTCTCAATTTTTTTTTTTTTTACGATTCCACTTAATCAATATCGATCATGATTAATTAAGATCAATTCCAATGCCAAATTATTATTTTTTTGCGATTTCACTCAATTAGGATCAATCATGATTAATTAAGATTGATCCCATTGCCAAATTTTTTTTTTTGCGATCTCATTTAATTAGGATCGATCATAACTATATGAGATCGATCTTAATTCATTTGAGGTTCAAAAATTGGGACCAAACTAAATTTCTGTTGGTTCCAATTAAATAGGATCGATCACAACTAGCCGAATTTTTTTTTTTTCTGAACTGATTCGATCGTATATTTAGTTACATTAAATTGACATGCAATTTCATAATTAATTTTAGTGAGTAATCTTTTAATATTTAATGTAAAAAATTGAGAATCACACATTTTTTTTATACAGTTCTGAATTTTACCCCCCCCCCCTTCTCCACCCAAAAAAATTAAATTGGTTTTGGTTGAAATGTCAGTTTTCATTGAATTTAATTCTGTGTGTCAATTCGAAGCCTTTGGTGATTTAATGGGATACTTACAGACCTTGTAGCAATTATTAGTGTTTATCACCTCCATAAGTCAATGGGTGGGAGTGGGCTTAATGTAAGAAAGTGGAAACAATCTGCATACACGACTTTTGCCACCTTCTTTGTATGTTGTCAATTCGTGTTCATTGTGTCATCATATATTTTTTATTTTTAAATTATGTCCCTGTTAATATTACGAAAAACAATGTATATATTGTGTTATAAATATTAAACATTAATTTATTATGTTTATTTATCAATTATATTAATTTTAGAATAATATATCATGTCATGTTTTTGTTGTTGGGTCACATCACATTAACACCCTCTACTCTACTGCTTTGTCTCTCCCTTTCACGTGAATTTTTCTTTCAATAGTTTTTATATATATATATTTTTTTTGTCAATTGTAATCCGAGACACATTCGCCCGTGCCTTATAGTGTGTGTGATTATTGAGCAGGTGTTCAAATTTAATTTTAAAGTCTATTTAAACGATGTTCAAACTTGAAAGTCAGCTCTTTTTTAATTTATATTATTTATTTTATATGTGTTGAAATATTCTTTTTATCTAGTAGTTTAATTCAACAATAGTCTAGTCTAAATCATTAGTCATTTATGGCGACAATTGAACCTATATTCAATCACGCGTGATGTGAAAACAAGACGTACTCCAATAATTAATATCACTATCATATCTCTCTCTCTCTCTCTCTCTCTACGTACACGCACACGCACACGTCACACGACAAACATAAAACTGCCAAGTGTACGACTTTGTGGGCCCTATCTTGAAACCCACATGATTTTGTCTATTATCGTTTGATTTTCTTTAAAAAAAAAAATTTATTTTCATAACTCAAACTAAAAATAATGACTTGAGGTGTAAGCTAACTATGATAGCTGTGATTGCTCCTGTGCTAAGGAACTGGCAATGAAGGATGGGAACGGCGGTGCTACGGTGGTGGACACTGGCGGCCGAAATGGGGGATGTCAGTCAGTTCCTGCTTCCTGGTAATGACGGATGCAATTGTGACCAAGCCCCCCCCCACCCTTGAAATTGGTAAAACTAAATACTGTTTAACTTTTAATTGATCATTACAGAACCTGGTGGGTAGAAATTCGAATGAAAAAGATTATTTCAACACATGAATAGGTGGGTGAGCATTTCGATTAGCCACCTTGCTATGTCAAATACTTTAATTTCAAAGTTAGTAGCTTGTGTTATTGCGATATTTAGAAAGAACTAAATGTTACAATTTCAACTGCAAATATATAATCGAGTTTCGAATTTGTATCATATAAATCACAATTCTCACTTTTCTAATATATTTGGATGGTTTTAAGGTAATGGATTAGATAAGTGTTATCAAATCATTCTAAACTCAACCTCCATCTCTCAATGCATAAGATTCATAGATTAATTTTTTTTATATTCATGTTTGGTAAATAACAAATACACTTATACAATCTACACATTTATCACCATTATCACTATACACTTATCATGTAAATGACTATTTTAGTCATTGATCAATTCAATTTATACCTATGTTTGTTTAGGTGTTGCAAATATAGAAAACTGAATTAAGAGGTACAAAGATATTTTATCCATTGAATCCGATTTGGCTCCATCGAAACCAACCTCCCTTGGGTTTGTTAAAGCCAATGTTCATGGGTTTAAGTATCCGGGCCAGGTACGGCCTAGATTGCAGTCCAAGGTTTCAAAATTGCATTCGAACCTGAGTTTTGTTGGTCTATTAGACAATTTTTCCTATACCCATCATACCAAACCCCTCTTTACCCCATCTACCAAACAGCCCTTCGAGTTTTCCGTTCTTCCCAAGAACAATTGTCCATTCAAGCAAGAACAATAGTCAATTCAAGCAAGAGTGGAGTTATTTTCACCCCATAAATATTCTTTTGCACCCCAATTAAACTTTTAATTATAAAATTATTAAGTTTACCCCTGTTATATTAACCCCATTAATAGCTAGGTACACTCCATTCTACATCCATCTTATTAATGACTAAACTTACTTTGTGCAATATTTAACTAAAATAAAATTATAAAATTAGTAAGCCTTAATGTGTCATGATATCGACAACTAGATTATTGATAAAATATACAATTTTTTTTTTGTTTGAATGTTAATTGAGGAGTCCGGCTCAGATCAGACTTAGATCACAAATAATAGGCCCAGAGCGGGCCTAGATGCAGACCAACAAAGGTTCAATCACAATATCAGTTGGGCCAAGCCCTCTTTCCTGAGAGACCCAATCTACTTTTTGCACACGTGGAATCTTCATCCAAGGAGAGAGAATCTGTGGGGATGCAATCTTTGGGAGCACCTCGCCAGTTTTGCGAGATCACCTCACTGGTTGCGAGATAAGACGACCTACAAGGGATCACCCCCACTATTCCCTTGCCCATTGCAAGGATAAGACGAGTTTCACAAAATCAGTTATGAGGATGACGCCACAATCAAAGTCCATTGGAGCCAACTTTAGTTGTCTATATATTGTAAATCCCACCTATACATGGGGAGAATCCCGCACATCTCAACACACTACACATCTTCTTTGTATTTGTTTATGTTGAGCCCTATTTCCTTTATCTTTAATTGATTTTGCATAAACTTACTTTTGTATATCATCATTAACATAAAAACGGATCAACTTTCATTCAAATATTTTTATAAACTAAATATTTCATGTGAATTTCTCTTCAATAAAAAAAATAATGAGTTAAAGTTTGTATAGTTGTATACACACACACACACACACACACACATATATATATATATACCTGAAAAATTATTATTATTAATAAAAAAATACGTACAATAAACTAAAATAAAATAAACTTGGAACCCATACCAATTTGAATATCACTTGAAAGATTTATACTAAATAATCAAATTGAATATATTTTCGTATAGATTGTGTGACGTGGAATATATAAAAAAACCTTAAAGGTGAAAATTGATATAAGTTTAATTATTAGAGCATATCCAACCATGACTCAAATTTATACTTAAATTTGAGAAAAAAAACTTGATTTAGTAGAGTACTCTAATAGGTAAACTCAAATATTTACTCATTTTTTTTTAAATTTCCTTATTGTTTGAAACTTCATATTTTTTGTGTCATTCAAATTATTAAATTTGATAAAACAAATGAAACTTTCATAGCTCTCCACAGAAAAGTAATTCAAAGAAAATTGAATACGGATACAACACCACCCAAGAATAAAAAGAAATAGGAAAAAAAAACTACTCTAGAATTCTGAGATTGTTCTATTCTATTGGTTTGAAAAACACAAAAAATAGATCATTTTTAACAAAAATGGAAAATGGATGATTGAAGAAATGAAATGACAAATTTTTAAAATTTTCGGGTAGTGAAGACTTGAAATTTCAAGAAGAATTGTGTCCTGAAATTGCACCATTAACAGTGTTTAATTCAAATAAATCAAAGATAAATTTGATGGGCAGGTTTAGAGTTCATATAGTTTGAAAGATGGGTGAGATGAGATTAAAGTTTTAAAAAATACAAAAAATTAAGAAGATGAAAAAAAAAAAAGCTGACTTATCAGTCTTGAAGGGATTTATTAATGCTTTATTGGTGGTTGGCGATGCAATCAATGTAAAAAAGAGAGAGGTAGAGAACAAGTCATTGAAGAAGTTTTTGGGCTTTAGATAAGGTAAAAAGTTACTGTTGAAAATTTGGTATAGAATTTGAGTTTTCTTCAATTTAGATCCAAAATAAGTTTTTTTCTTGATTTGGTATAAGTTTGAGTTCAAGGTTGAAAATTTTTGGACAATTTAAATTTAAATTTAAATTTGAGTTTAAATTAAAGTCATATCTAAAAATGCTCCTAGAGAAGTGGATATAGAATCGGGTGAACTTAATTACTAATAGAATGATTTTTAAAAAAAATAAATTTAATAATTTTATGATTTAGAATTTAATGAAAGTGAGAATAAAAATTTGTCATGTGAAAATAGCCCGACTCTTCAAGCAATGGCATCCCACAAGAGGTGCTTTCCAAGAATGATCTTTATTTTGTCCCATTAGTTTCTAATTTTTCTTCCATTCTCTCTCTTGAAAGTTCGAGAGATTTCTCCATTTTTGTCTCGTAATCACAGACGTGTGGAAGATGCATAGCTTTCATATGGTTTCTTTGACTACAACTGCTAGCCTTAATATTTTGACCCTATAAAATTCAATTTGTTAGTCCAAAAAACAACAAAAATGAATAAAATAGAGAAAAAAAACTAGACACCATTTTGATGCCCAAGAAAAGTTTTTCTTAGGGTTAATAGTATTTTTAGTCTTTAAATTATATATTTTTTTGTTAATTTAGTCTTGATTGTATCAATTTAGTACTTAAAATATTTAATGAGTGTTACTTTGCTACATAGACGGACCACCAAATTTTTTTTGACAGAAGTGATTATCTGTCAAAAATTTAATTGTTCGTTTGCGAATACTTTAATGACACGAATTGAATATTTTAAAGATATATTGACAAAATTAATATAATGAGAACTAAACTGAAAAAAAAAAAAATTTTAAAGACAAAAAACACCATTAACCTTTTAAAAATCATGTGTGCCCAAGACATTTTAAAGATCACCTGTGTTCAAAGACATCTGCCCTATGTTCTATTTTCCGACTGATTTAATTCTAGCTCGCGGTCCTCGAGCCCACAGTCCACAATTGTGTGCGGATGTTTGCGCAGATTTCTAGTCTAGTTGGTCATGTGTTTCAAATCTATACTAGGCACTATGAGAAGGGTTTGAAAGCTTTTTTTTTCCCAAACCGTATTTTTTCTTACTTTTAAATTATTTAACATGAATATATTAGTCTCATCTAATTTGATTATTTCATGAGACCCATGCATATTAATTATATTATTTTCTAATAATGTCACTGGTGGTGGTTGAGATGTGACGATTGTGCATCCCATAGGAACAATTGCCACTATGGAATAAATTGTGGAGAACAGAACAATAAATTCTCATTGAAATAATGCAGGGCATACGAAAGCAATGAGCTTCGACCGTTCAATTATTATCAAATATATATATATATATATGCTAATCTCCTTTTTGTGGGTGTTGCTTTAGAGGGTATTTAAAATGTCGCAGCCAGCCAATAATTATACATTCACGGAAAAGGCTATGGTACGGGCTTCCGTACCGTACCAAAATTTATAATCTTTTAAAGTTAAGTTATAATTTTTTTGATGCGTAAATTATAATTTTTAAAGGTCAGGATCGATTATGATAGACTGAAATGATAACGAAATTACAATTTTTAAAAATTAAGTTATAACTTATAAAAGAGAAGTTACAATTGTTCAAAAAAAGTCTATGATCGATCATTTGTATCTTTGATTGATCAAGGTCTATTTGATTAATCATAAATTCTTCTTAAACAATTATAACTTTTTTATTTGAATTATAATTTTATCATAAAAATAATAACCGACGGTATGGTACCAAAAACACTACCATACACTTTCCATGGATTCACACCTAATTGTCAAATCAAGTAAGATATGAAATTTAAAAGAAAGTGGACTGCTGACAAAAAGACACTAATCTTGCAAATAATGAAAGGGCCTATTCAATCAACCAGGTGATCAAATTTGACTATCTAACCATTGAGCCCCCACCCCAAGACTTATAGAAAATAAAGAGACCCTTCTCATTTTTCAACGTAAGTTTCGTCGTCGTGGATGTTAATCAAATATGATAATGAACAAATTGATATTGCGTAAAATCAATAATTGAGTATATGTAAGGGTGCAATTTAATGAGCAATAGTAAACAATCAATGATAAAACAGAAAATAAGGAATCAACACCAAGATATATAGTGGTTCGGTCCGGATGATCTACTCCACTCTCAGGAACGACAACGGTGGCCGGAGATCTTTATTGATGAATAATGTCACCGAGAGAGTAACTCCGGGAGTATTACAATGGTGATGAGAAAGAAACAATGTGTGTAGGGAGGTGTAGTATGTGTAGAGATCTCAAGATGTAGAGGCTTCAAAGTGATCAGATGTTAAGGTCATGCCCTCTATATGGAGTGGGTTTACATTATATAGGTTTGTTGAGGTGGTGAAGTGAGGGAGATGACACCTCCTTTTTGGTAAGTACAATTACGGTAGAATTTGATCTCTGTGTGTATCTCGATATTTTCTCTCTCGTGCACCTATTCCGTCGGAGGAAGATCCTGAGCTGAGTTGGACCTGATCCTGAGCTTAGACTTGAGTTAAAATTTAATTGGAGTCAAGAGGACAAAGGAGGAGCAGGAGGCAGCCCTTGGGCGGCGCCCTTTGATGCCTCCCTTGGGCGTTGGCCCCTTGGTCTTTTTTGGATCTGGTTCTAGTGAGTGGGGCTCTCTTCTGGATATTGATCATTGATCACTGGGCTCTTTTTGGTTTATTTTTAGTGGGTCTGACCAAATTAATTTCAGACTCATCAAAATAGAAGAAAGAAAAATGGACATCAAATGGACCACCTGGTCTTCTTTCTTAATATTCAAAACTTGCCACCTATATTACGAAAATTTTGGAAGAAAGTAAAGCAGTCAATTCAAACTCAAATACCACTTTTCAAATTCACATTACTGCCTCATACTATATATAGTATACATAAGCAGTTAAACCCCCTCCAAACACAGCAAGCTTCAAAGTTGGAAAACCAAAAAAGAAGAAACTATGGAGAAACTAATGAGGCAAATCATGTTCTGTGGTTTCTTCACTGCTCTTCTTTTGCTTTTAGCTGCATGCCCAGCAACATGTCAAGAAGTTGGTAAGTCATTTCTCCTTTTTCTTTTTCTTTTATGGGTAGGAAACAGTTTTTTTTACTGAAATTAGAAATACAACAGAGTTGAAGTCATGCTCAAAAACTTCACGAGTTTGAGCAATATAGTGAAGATTTTCTATAGCATATACTTTGTTTTTTCCTTCGTCTTCATTCTGTTGTTCTTGATATATTGTGCAGAGGATGAGAGCGAGTTCAGTTATGTACCTGGCAGCCATAATGGACCGGAGCGCTGGGGAGAGATTCGTCCAGAATGGAGCATGTGTAACAATGGAACCATGCAGTCTCCTATTGATCTGCTGAATGAGAGAGTTGAGATAGTTTCTCACTTGGGAAGACTTAAGAGGGATTACAAACCCTCTAATGCAACTCTAATAAATAGAGGCCATGATATGATGGTAAGAGACAAAGAAAAAGCTTTATCTTATGTTCTTGGGCAGTCCAATCTTCAATATACCATCCATTTTTGCGGTTCAACTGCTTATGATTTTTCAGATTATGATTTGAAGTTTTTTTAATTTTCATTCACAGATTTAAAAGCTCACCTTACACCATATATTTGTTTTTCAAAAAGGTAGCATTTTGTTCCAATAACCATGTTCCAATAACTAGAGGTCTAAAGATAAGATTATGGAATTCAGGGACGGAATCAGAATTTTATCCTGAGGGGGCCAACAATGACAAACAAAAATTTAATTTAATGGGGTTATTCAACGATCATTGTCAATAATAATTTTTTATTTATAAAACATCTATTAAATTTAATTTTTATGTAATAGCATCAAACGAATTATTTTTGAGCACAAAACTCAAAAGTGGTTCGTGCCATCATAAAAATTTATTTGTGATAATCTCTTTTCTTTTTTCTTGTTTATAATGTAACTTTCTGTCTATAAATAAATAAATCAAGGTTGCAAATAATAGTTTTCATATAATATCATAATAAAAATGAATTATAAGTCAACCAATTGCTTTTGATATAAATTATATTTGTATCCCTATTTTTTTATAAAAAAAAGTTATTTGTTTTTTCTCTATATCATCAAAATAATCCAATAAGTGTTTTCGTATTACATCCTAAATGGTTATTAAATATTAAATTATTGATCTTTTTGAATACACTAAGTAAGATACTTACGCATTGAGTGTTTTAAAAAGTTAGAGGTTAACAATAAATTTTTTAAAAATATATGGGGGTAATGAAAATTTTTAAAATTTTAAGAGAGAGCAGGGAGGGGGGGATTGCCTTCCTAGGCCTCATAGTTCTGTCGCTGATGGTATAAGAAAAGTGCCTTCAAGTTTTACAACTTTTGTGGGTTTTGATACATGCTTTTGAAGAAAAAAATTATAACTTTTCTTGGTCACGCTATAACTTTTAAGAATTGAGTTACTGACTTTTTTTTTTTTTTTGGGCCAAGTTACCACTAACTTTGCGATTGCTTCTAAAAATGTTAAGATCAACTATAACACTTTTAGAATCAAATCATACCACAGACTTCTCCATGATTACATATTGCGACTTTAAAATGTTTCAGGGAGAAGAGTGATTCACGTTTCTTTTTTATTTGGTAGTGGTTGTCCTAACTGTGCTGGATGGAAATTAACTTTTGACTTTTCTAAATGCCACCAAATCTGCAGTCTTACCTACCATGATATTTTAGTGTAATTCGTAGAATACGATTGAAAAACGTATAAAAAGAATTGTATTTTTCAAGCACGTAAATATATTTTGCGATTTTACAAGTCTCTATAATATTGACAAGTGCTTTTAATATTAAATCTAATGCCCGTAATTTTTTTATTAGAAATTTCTATAAAAAAAAATATCGTGTACCCCCAAGATTTTGCATTAGTTTCTGTTTGAATTTGCATTTAAATAGGTTGATAATTTGTTTATGGTTGCAGTTGAGATGGCAAAGTGGTGGAGGACATATCTACATAAATGGAACTCAGTACACACTCAACCAGTGCCATTGGCACTCACCTTCTGAACACACCATCAATGGCCGGAGGTGCTTCTCTTTTTCTATTGTGTATGTGTTTGAATTACACTACGTATTGATGACAATAACAATACTAAAATCTACTCTACAGCTATGATCTAGAAGTTCACTTGGTTCATGAGAGCTCGGATGGTAGGGTTGCTGTGTTAGGAATCCTGTATACGATTGGACGGCCGGATTCCTTCTTGTCTATGGTAAGCCCACAAACTACTCTCTCTCACATACACAAACATTTATGTATATGTAGTCCTGATAATTCTATACGCTTCCACCATTTCAGCACGAATTGACACAAGGCTAGTGGGTTTGAATTTATTTGAGTGATAAGCTTTAGGTTAACTTGCGTACGACCTAAGGCAATATAAATCATTAAACACAATATATATATACAATACAAACTCAATTATGTATGATTATAAATGTATTGAGTATAATTTTAGAAACTGAAACAAAAATATGATTTATGCGATATAAAGACACCACATAACATGACGTAAGATAACTGACGTGATGTTTTTGTGTGTTCTCAGATGGAGAAAGATTTAAAAGCCCTTGCTGATATCAGAGGAGTAGAGAGAGTGGTGGGTACAATTGACCCAAGGCAAATAAAGTTGGGGAGTAGAAAGTATTACAGGTACATTGGGTCCCTTACAGTTCCTCCTTGCCATCAAAACGTTGCCTGGACCATGCTGAGAAAGGTAAGCACTACGAAGCCTACATTAATTATTATCAAGTAATAAAATTATGATTTTTTACAAGCGAAGTACTGATTGTTAATGGCTTCTTTTGGGATTTATCAGGTCAGAACTGTTACCAGAGAACAAGTGAAACTAATCCGCGAAGCTGTTCACGATGTAAGTTACTAGTACTATTACAATTTTCTTATAAACAACAAAATTTTTAAACCTGCGACTTTAAGGTCCAACAACGGAGCAGTGGTCATTAAATTAATTGTTAACCTCAATTTTGATCATATTTATAAGTTCAATTTTATATGTCAAAAGTGTCTGGGATATTCTTGATACCAATTGAATTTTGACAACCATAAGCCCCAATTTTGCAATGGAGCAATAGAGCCGATATTAGGTTATGGACTAACACTGTGGCTTTATCCGGTGAGATATTGTTTTCCTATGTTTTAAATATATTATACAAATGCCTTGTGATTTTGGAGAAACTTAAACCTTTATAGGGAATTCTATAAAAGTAAACGGTCAAACATCGAAATTCTATATTGAATAAAATAACATGCAAAAATTACTTTTATAACCTTTTACATATTACCTCTTTTCTAATTTTCTTCTCTAAAATAAATGAATCTCTTTCATTCTCTTCCCTTTGTATACATTATTTGAATTTTAAAAAAAAAAATGAAGAAGAAACGATGAAAAACTTGAAAAAATAAAGAGAAGGGTACTATTGCTTTTCTACGTAAATTGTTTATCTCCTTAGCTTTTACACTATGGATCAAAATAACTGGGGTTATGCATAGGTTTCTAACGGATAAGGATGCTAAGTGTCTCTATTTTTTTTTTTCCATCATACATTATTATAGGGAGGGGGATAACAAGGTTTGAATGCACAACCTTAAAATCCAACAACGGACTTCTAAGTGTCCCTACCTCAAAACACATGAACCTAAAGTATAATTTATTTATTATACATTAATTATGATGTTGTTTACCCACCATCTAATCATGTTTGGATGATGATTATTATTTTCTACAGGACTCAGAAACTAATGCAAGACCTGTACAACCAATAAATCAGCGCTCGGTGAAGCTCTACAGACCAACAGATCGTCAAAAAAATTAAAATTCACATTTTTTTAATTATTATTAATTTTTACTACCACTGATTAATATTATCATACTATTCGAGATTTCATTGTTACAGAGTACTACATAGATATCTGCTAGAAATGAGCTTGGGTTAGAGATTTCCATGTTTTTGTAACTCCTGGCCTATGACTGCCCATATTTTATATGTTCTTGTTATTGTAATATTAATAGCTTTACAATAAGAACTTGTCGGCTTTTGTGCTGGCATTTCATGTATCTTTTGTTGCATATTCTGAATTTATATATTGAAGGTTAGAAAAACACAGGTAAGTTTAGCGGTTAAACAAAAATTGAGAAGAAAATATGTGGACCTTGAGTTTTGAGTCCCAAGAACTTTATTAAATATGAGTTTAACTTATTTATGTTATTATTGACGATTTGTGCATTCGAGATTTGCTTTATTAAATATGAGTTTGAATAAAATATCTTCTCTATCGCTCTTCTCTCTTACCCCACACCACCTAGGAATGCAACTTGGCAAGTTGAGGGGACAATCCTAGCTTAATCCTAGATATATAATTTTTAACCCTAATCCGACCTCAACACGAGTATTGCTTAAATTTAATTTGGGCGGGCTCAGGTTAAATTTGAATTACGTAGTTTGGGTAAATTTCAGCTTAGAATTCATGTCAAGTTCGAGTTACGTAATTTGGGCTGATTTCGGGTTAGAATTAAAGTTCGGTTCATTCAAGTCCGAAATCAGCTTGTTTTAAACTTGTTACATACTACATAATATTCACTTAAAGTAACAACCAACAAATTCAATCAAATGTTTAACATAAATACCATAGTATTTAAAGCATAAAAATCATTGTTTAACATAATAACATAATAGTCAAATGTTTAACACAAGATTGAACTAGAAAATAGATCCTTAGTGTTTTAATTTACAAGTTATATTGTTATATTGATTTATATATTTATTTTTAAATATGTTCGGGTTGAGCACAATTTAGAATTTGTGTTATATATTTGAATTGAGTCTGATTTAGAATTCGGGTTGAGTCTGATTTATTTATTCGAATTGAACCCGATAACATGAGGTCTCAACCTGAGTATTTTTTAAATTCAATTTGAGTTGATTTTTTTTACTCAGGCCCAACCCAAATATGAAAAACTTCAACTCAAGTCATGTTTTTCACAAATTGGATTTGAGTTGGCCTGCCCACCAAGTTACACTCCTAACACCATCGACACCCTCTCTCTCTCTCTTCCCCCACACCATCGACACCTTTAGCCTTCCACCTCCACTCCCCACCCAGCCTCCTACTACCTGCTACCTACTCCCTCATCCCTCATTCCCCATCTCCACCTCGTAGTCCCTCGCCTTGCATGCACCTTTGCAAAACCTAGTTGTAGGTCTGAAAATCTTTTCGTCCACCAATCAGAGATCCAATCTAATGGTTTTGATCTCTCTCTCTCTCTCTCTCTCTCTCTCTCTCTCTCTCTCTCTGTGGTGGTGCGTTTTGGATGGTGGAGGTTGTGGTGTTAGGGTTGATCTTTAGACTAGGTAATCGAAGTCATCGCCTAGGGTCCCATATTTTTTGGGACCTCAACTTTTTTTTTAGATTTAGATTTCCTTGACTTTAAATTATTTTTAAAAATTTTAGATTTAATTTTAATTAAGTCTAGATTTGCTTTTGGGTCCCAAATAAAATTTTTGGATCAATGTTCAATCCAATCAAATTTTATTTTTCAAGCCCTTAAATTTTTTTATACGTGCATGTTCAATGGAGTCAAATTTTACTTTTACGAGTTTTACAGTAATATGAAATTCATTATATTAGTCATAATACCTACCATGTACAAGAAAACTATGTAATTGTTTCTTTCGTATATTGTTTCCTACAATTTAATCAACTTGAAAATTATTTGACTTTTTTTAGAATTTGATGATCTTTTGATAAGTTAAATTTATTTAAATTTATATTGAGTTAGTTAATGGTTTTTTTGCCATGACTGCATGAATATCACTATAATGTCTAGTATTGAACTTCAAATTTTCTCTCTTACTATTCTGTTGACTATTTGTTCTTGAATAAGTTTTATAAATCTAAAAAATATGTTAAAGAATGTGAATATAGAAATTTAAATAGTAAGTTGACATCTCAAATAATTTTTTTTAAATAATTATATTTTAATAAAAAATTATATATTATAATAATAATAATTGATGAGTCCAAAAATCAACTGGACTAGGCCCAAGTCACTAGTACCCAAAAAGGGCTCAAGTCACCAGTGCCCAAATGGGGCTTGCCCAAGCCCCTGGTGTCGCCTAGGCCATGGGCACCGCCCATGAGGGGCCCTCTTGCCTCGCCTTCATCTTCCTCACTTTGCCACTCTGACCTAGTCCGACTCAACTCATGATCCAGGAAGCCCGAATGAATAGGAGTACGTGGGACAGAATACCGGTGTCACACCCCAACTCCAAGAGTATGACTTGTCGTGAACCATAAATCTATAACCTATAGAGCATGTAAGCCTAACAAGAAACTAATAATATAGGAGTGAAAAACAACATTAACACTAAATTGATCTCATGTCAATATGTCAAAGTCAACATATCTAAACCTGTTTGCCCCAATTATCCAAACAAGTAAAGACGACTATACAATATATGCTATGGTGGTCACAACAATATTAGTCCCCAATCAATTCCCTGAGTCCGTTATTGACACTTCAATTGTTTACTTGGAAAAATATTATTTTGATAACATGAGCTAAAAAGCCCAGTGAATGGAAAGACATATATATTCAAAGTGGCTGAAAACCATATTTGACTTATGACATGTAAATCAAAAGTTTGAAAAAATAACTTCATCAAGATAACCAATTTCTCAAGAATAACACAATCAGACTCCAACAAGAAAATCATACCACAATGGTGAATCATATCATAATGGTGGAGACTGTATGATATCCAATAATCGATGGAAACCAAATATCAAATACAAGAAAATACGTATGACATACGATAAATAATCATAAACAAAGCCAGTAAAAAAAAGTTGTGACAATAACAAATTATATTATCATCTTACTAGTAAGGATTTGTACGATATCTGAGAACCATACCAAATGCTAGAAGATCTCAAGGTTGGATCTAACATCGTACTTAGGGTCATCACGGGTTGCCGCCCGGGAACTGTTCCCTAAGACGATCCGATGAAAGTCACCAGAATGCACCAGGAACTGTTCCTTCACCCGTTGAGCACTAGGGTCACCTTAGCCTCCCCCAGGTTTGTTCCCTAGCGGCCAGGGTCACCCGCACACAAAAGAATAATTTTCCTAGACTTTTAACCAAATGCCAGAATATATCTCAGGGTTGGATCCAACATCGTACTTAGGGTCACCATAGCCTCCCCGGATCTGTTTCCTAAGACGATCCAGTGAAGGTCACCAGGTATTGTTCCTTCAACTGTTGAGTATTAGGGTCACCTCAGCCTCCCCCGGGTTTGTTCCCTAGTGGCTAGGGTAACCCGCACAAAGAGGAATAATTTTTCTGAATTTTCAATCATGTTCCCATTTACTATCACAAAGTCTCACCATATAAACAAGTGATTGAGTCACAATACTTCACAAAAGAGTTCATCAAAATAATCAAAATTGTATGTCGTAAGTATTTAGATAATTAGTAAAGCATTATTGTAAAGGTAATAAAGAACAAACATGATGTATTGTTTCTAAAATGTTTAGGGATACGGAGAATTTTCGAGGATACGTAGTATGCCAAATCACTCACCTTTAGTTCAAATGATATGCTTCTTGAGTGTTGCTTGTTACCCGAAGTAGAGTGAAATGTTATTGATGTCTTTCATCTTTTTTCTCACAATTTCCTTTCTCCTTTGATGAGGTGTTGTTCTTTCCTTCTTTTCTCTTTTACTCTTTATTCTTTCTTGAAAGTGGAAGACAACTTGTGCACTTGTATCTTAATCCAATCCCCAAATGCCCTATATATAGGCATCCTAGGATTATTCTAGAGAATATTGATATGTGACATTTTTAAGGAAGAGATTCCTTAGAATATTCTACCATATCCCCTTTGCTAGATTCTTCTAGGTTTCAAACTTATTTTGCACATGACAATTTCACAAGTATTTAGATTCATCTATGATATTCTAAAATTTTTTCCAACCTTCTATGTCCTTCCGGAAATTTTTGGAACATTCTAAATCCCACTAAAACCTTCTAGTATTTCCTATAACCTTCTAAAATACTCTAGACTTCTTTAGATTGTTCTAAAATTTTCCAGAAACTTCTCCAACATTCTAGATTCTTCTAGATTATTCTAAATTCTTCTTTAAAATTTTTTTTTATTCCTTCCAAGATAATATTCCCCAACTAGTTCTTTGCCAAAAGGGAATGGGGTATTACAACCAGGATATGCCTCATGGAGATCTAGTCCTACCTTAATTGAACTTACCAAAGGAGTAGAGCTCTCTCCCTTATGTCATTGGCTCACCATACCTATATAATGTAAGCCCTCTTCACATAGGTTACCCAGAACTTTCGAAAGGATACCGTTTCTATTATCATACAAGTGGTATTAAAATTGTTGAGTTTTTAACAACAAAATTTCTAGAGCTTAACGTTGTTGATATTGGCTGCTCGCAACCTATTAGTGAGCATGAGGAAGATAAATTTGTTTATATTTTTTTACTTGTTGTGCAAGAGAATATTATACCTGCTCATGTTGTTAATTTTTCTGCTCCAATTGTTGATCCTTCTATTACTGCAATTGACCCTTATGTTCCTATTGAGACTCTTCAACCTTTATAGCCTACTACTGAAATTTCTTTGAGAAGGTCTACAAGACCAAGGAGAAATGTTATTTTTGCTGAATATTATGTATACCTTGGAGAAAGTGATTATGATATTGATGATATTGTTGATCCTGTAACATACTATGATGTTATCACTTGTCCTCAGTCTGATATGTGGATAGGTGCTATGAAAGATGAGATGCATTCTATGATACACAATGAAGGGTAGGAGCTTGCAGAACTTTTTGAGGGATGTAAACTCATTGGCTGCAAATGGGTGTTTAAAACTAAGATGGACTCCAAAGGTAAGATTGAAAGACTTAAGGCTAGATTGGTAGAAAAAGTGTATACCAGAGGGAAGGTATACATTTTAATGAAACTTTATTACTTGTCTCTAGTAAAGATTCTTTCAAGATTATTATAGCATTAGTGACTCATTTTGATCTAGAACTTCACCGGATGGATGTAAAGACAACTTTCCTAAATTGTGAGCTTAGTGAAGAAGTTTATATGATATAGCCGGAGGGTTTTAAGGAGAATGGGAAGAACATTCAGTTTGCAAGTAGAAAAAGTCTATCTATGGTCTCAAATAAGCTTCTCGTTAGTGGGACCTGAAATTTGATGAGAGAGTAAGTTCTTTTAGTTATGTTGAGAACAAGATGGATCAATGCTTATATCTTCAGATCAGTGGGAGCAAATTTATTTTTCATGTTCTTTATGTATTTTGCTTGTAACTAATGATTTGAGCTTACTTCATGAGATTAAGCAATTGTTATGCAAAATATTTGACATGAAAGATTTTGAAAAAACATCCTTTGTGCTAGGCATTCAGATTCATCGAGATAGGAGTCGTGGGTTGTTGAGACTTTCTCAAAGGGCATATATAGATCGTGTGTTTAAAAAATTTAATATGCATAATTGTAAGTTTGGGGATGTACCTGTTGTGAAAATGTGCTAAATTTAGTCTAAGCCAATGCCCTAAGAATGATCTTGAGAAGGAGTCTATGAAGAATATACCTTATGTGAGTGTTGTTGGAAGTTTAATGTATGCATAGGTTTGTACCAGACCTGACATTGCTTTGCAGTTAGTGTTCTTGACAGATATCTTTCTAAACTAGGATTAGAACATTGGGTGACAGCCAAGAAAGTTATGAGATACTTGCAAAGAACAAAAAATTACATGATAGTTTATATGAGAGTTGATAGTTTTGAGGTGATTGATTACCCAAATTCTGATTTGCTGGGTGTCAAGATGATTTAAAATCCTCTTCAAGATATTTTGACACAATATAGAAGATATTCAGATCTACAACTTTCATGTTTTGCACTTTTTCAGATTCGAAGTGGATCATGGTAAAAAAAGAGAAAAACTAAGGTACTACTACAAAATGGTGTGGATGTTGATACCTATGTTACCAAACATCAATACCTCTTTGATTTCTTTCACTTTTAAGCCTCCAAATTCTCATGTAATGTGTCCATCTCTTCACCACACATCCACACATAGTTGCAAGGTTCTAAAATCCATCATTTATGCTATAATTACTTGCAACATCGAAAATTCAACATTATTGACAACTTTGGCTAACTCTAAGTACTTAAATGAAAATTTTGAGTTAAAATACATGTAATGAGGCCTTCAAATATGCAATATTATGTTCTCATCAGCTGCCTACTCGAGAAGGGACACTTCCTTGCTCTAATTGTTCTAGGCTTTGTACTTTTGCCTCCCTTGACATTGGATTAACTTTAATTACAAAATTTCTATCTGGTCTTTTCTCACTGGATGATTTTTTGTCAAATCATGCTAAATTGTGGTGACACACCAATAACATTCTCATTCCTTCTGACCATTCAACTTATGTATTAAATGAAACTTATACATTATGCATGCTGACATTCTTTTTCATTGTCGCTGTGACAGTAGTATCTTCCTCATTAAAACAACCAATCAATATGTCTGTGAGGGTTAAGTTAATGTGCTGGTAACAATTTGGTGTTCCATGATATGTTTTTCATACAATGAAAAGTTTTATTCATGATAGTCTATGCAACAAAGACATTTTCGGATTACTTAAAGCGAATGGCCATTGTTGTAAAAATACTTTTACTATCCAACATTTATTGGTTTAGTAATTTTTTGACGTTGCTAGATTTAATTTGACGTTGAATCCATAGAGAACTTTAATGTTAGACCGCAATGATTTAATTTGTCATTGATCTTGTAGTAAAAATTGTCTCGTATGTAGATTGAGAGTGAAAGGGGAAGTATGAGTATGAGAAGCATTGTCACAGACTCCTTGGTTGGCCAAAGAGTTTGCAACTGCATTTTCTTCCCTATAGGAATGCTGCATTTCCACAAGAACCAAGCTCATTTTATATATAAAGAATAAACAATCTTTTGAGGCAATATTATCACGTTTTTTGGGTTAGATTACCATTTTTTTGAGAAGATTACCACTTTTTGAGGGAAAGATGATCGTGTTGAGGTAAATGTATCATTTTTTTTGGTTTTCATTACAACTTTTTCGGTTAGAATATAATTTTTTGGGTGTAATATTATCACTTTTATTTGGTAATAATACCACTTTTTTTTGGTAAAATTACCAATTATTTGAGGTTAAATTACCCATTATTTGAGGCAAGATTACCACTTTTTTTTGTTAAGATTACCATTTTGTTTTTGGGTTAGAATGCAACTTGATTTGGCTTAGAATACAACTTTTTTGGGTGTAAGAGTAAAACTTTTTGGGTATAACATTATCACCTTTATTTTGTAAAAATAAAACTTTTTTTAATAAGGTTACCAGTTATTTGAGGCAAGATTATTACTTTTTAGGGAAAGATTACTATCTTTTAGGTTAGATTACCACTTTTTATGTTAACATCACCATTTTTTGGATTAGAATACTACTTTCTTGGACTTAGAATATAACTTTTTTGGGTGTAAAAATACGACTTTTTTAGTGTAACATACCACTTTTTTGGTAAGATTACCCATTATTTGAAACAAGATTATTACTTTTTAGGATAAGATTACTATTTTTTAGGTTAGATTACCACTTTTTATGTTAACATTATCATTTTTGGGTTAAAATACAAATTTCTTGGGCTTAGAATACAACTTTTTTGGGTCTAAGAATATAAATTTTTGTGTGTAATATTATCATTTTTTATTTTGTAACAACACCACCTTTTTGGTAAAAATACCCGTTATTTGAGACAAGATTACCACCATCTTGTTTAAGAGTACATCTGTTTTGGATAATATTATCACTTTTTTGGTTAAAATTACCATTATTTTGGTTAAGAGTACCACTTTTTTGGTTAATATTACCATTATTTTGGTAAACATTATCACTGTTTTGGTTAAGAGTACCTCTGTTTTGGATAATATTGCTACTTTTTTTGTTAATATTACCAATATTTTAGTTAAGAGTACCACTCTTTTGGTGAAAATTACATGTTGAGGTAAGAGTACCATTTTATTGGTTATTTTTTGTTTAACATTATCATAGATTAGGTTAACATTACTTTTGGTTAATGTTACACTTTTTTGGTTAATATTACAATTCTTTTCATTAAAATTATCATTTTTTTCGTTAAGATTACCACTGTTGAGGTAAGAATACCATTTTTTTGGTTAAAAGTACAATTTTTTTCAGTAATCTAACCAGTTTTTTGGTTAACATTATTATTTATTAGTTTAACATTACCACCATTTTGGTTAAAACCACTTTTTTGGTTAATATTACCAAACTTTTTATTAACATTATTAGGGGTGTTCAAATTTCCGACCGGCCGCAAGTACCTGACCCTACTTGACCCTACCCTACCCTACTGAACAGCTAGCCACAAATATCGGGTAGGAATGCGGAAGAGTTTTTGATCTTTCGACAATTTTCGGGTAGGAATGCTGAATAGCCATCCATTTTCACATTCCTACCATACCTTACCCGCAATAATTTATTTATATATATATATATATATATATATATATATATATATATATATATACTAAAACAACCCTAATCTACCGAGTCCTAAGAGCGTCTGCGCCTTACACCTCACTCGGCCACTTCACTGCTCCTCCTTCATCGTTCTAGACTTCCTACCCAAGTTCTCTCTCTCTCTCTTTGGTGTGGTCTGGCTTTGAAGGTCTAATCGCAGACCTTCATCTACAGTAACAGATCGGTGCCGCTGTGCGCGATCTGGTTATGAGTTGCAGATCAATGTGGATCAAGATAGGGGTAGCAATCAAGATTGGGATCAAGTAGCGATCATGAATCAAGTACATGTTTGCCATCAATCAAGTGGGATCTGATCAAGTTAGTGATTAACAGTGGGATCAAGTGAGGTTAGTGATCCTTGATCGATCCAGAGTGGGATCAAGTGAGCTTTGCGATCAAGAGTACCGAATCAAGAGTGGGATTAGGTGAGCAAGAGTAGTTATCAAGAGCTTCAGACCGATAGGTGTAGTAGATAAATAATGGGATCAAGGAATTTCTTTTTTTTTTTTTTTTTTAAATCTCAAATTTTATTGCATAAATCTCAAAATCACAAGAATCAAAAAACAGAAATTGTTTAACCGAAAAAACAGAATCTGTTTTAACAGAAAACCAAAAAATCAGAAAAACTGTTACAAACAGAATTTCTATTTTATAACAGAAAACAGAACAACAAAGCAAAATATGTTTTCTGTACAAATGCAGAATTCCTGAAACTGCTGGGTAACAACCTATCAACTTAATCCAAGCAAACCAACCCAGTTTAGCTGCTTAGTAAACTGCACTAGTACATAGAACAGACTGCAGTAAAGCACCAGCTCCATTTTGCCATATTTATCCCAGCATACCAATCCATTCCAATTTTCAACTGCTCAGTAATCTTACTACTAAATTACCACAACCATTATCATGCTCATTTTATGTATAAAGAACAAAGATATTTTAGATTTTTGACAAAAACACTATTGCTAGTTCAACTACAATTACATACAATTGTCACTACTGCTACTTCAACTATTGTATCAAAAACTAATAACAACAATTACATACAATTGTTACTTCCAAGCTATTTCTTGGTTTTTCATAAAAAAAAAGACTTAATTCTATCCAACCTACTATCGATCCTCTTCAGAGACTCCTTTATTTCATCTTGAGTCTCATTTATTTCATTTTGAGAATTTTCAAATTCCTCCATCTTTCTGCTCAATCATACCAACAACATTCCATATACCTGCAATGCATCAAGACGAAGACTAGTTGTGGAAGAATTTGGGACACCAGCGGTGGAAGAATTTGGGACATCTTGGGTTTGGGCTTCATCATCCTTAGCTTCAACTTCATTCTCGACTTGTGGCTGCGATTGCTGAGTTTTATTCTTCTTCCCTTGCCCCAAACTCTTCTTTATTGTCCCACCATAAATTGGATTCATGGGAGTGGAATAAGTGTCGCTTCAGTGAATCACAACTCCACAATCCTCCATAATATTTGAAATCAAAATTGGGAATGGGAGACATCATCACCTTTCCTTTATACCTTGTACCGAAATAATTTCATCAACTATTAAACAAGGTAAATCTATACATATACCCTTTCCAATGACATACAAGAGATGAGCTTGATCAAGTCCAAAATTAGCAGTATGTCCTGTACCCAACTATAAGATTTAACATCCTATATTTGGGAGTAAGGTCTTGTTGAAAAAATTCTGGATTGTCAACACTCTCACTAAATTTATTAGGTATACCCTCAATTTCTGCATGAACATCTTTCAGCTTAGTTATGTTCTTAAAATTCTTGAATGGATAGGTAAGGGTATTGATAGAAATGAAGGGTCGACAAACTTCCAATATTTTTGAAACTAACTTTGGAGTTACTTCAAAACTTACGTTCCTCACAAGGGACTTAAACTTGTGATCATCTCTATCAATATCATGCATATTAGAATAAAATATCTTCACCAATGTATTATATGCTTTATCCGTCTTCTTGATATCTACTGCAGAATTCCATTGATGAAGAGAAAAAATAACATCACATCCTACTTCTTTTAATTGATCTAGTAAAACGCCCCTCTCAAATAACAAAGGCTTATACTAAATGTAGTTTTCATACCACTGTTTGCAATGTTTGTTGAAGAAAGATATTTCCTCATTGCATATGGGGTTGGATTGGGGTTGGATGAACTTGGTGGATGATTAAGAGTGGGATCAACTGGATTGAAGGAGGTGGGATTGGTGGAGGTGGGATCAATGGAGGAAGGATGATTACATTTCTTCTTCGAGAAGGAGGAGGGAGGATCACTACAACTTTTCTTTATCTTCATTTTTTCACTGGTATCCACAACTTTTGGCCTATATTTCTTTCTACTGGTCATTCTGCTGTAACAAAAAAAAATCTAGTCAAAAAAGCAATAACATGAAAAATTATCTATTGTTTTGAGCAATAACAATTGAAGATGTGAGGAAGATAGGATTGCTTGAACCATCACTCACAAAAACCATAATTCTTTCAATCCCAAAACACATCCCTTATGCAACTATTTGTACAAAAAATTTTATGAAATTGAGAGAGATAGAGACAACTATGTATAAAAAAATATGACGAAATAAACCTGTTTTTTTGCTAATTAAACCAAAAAAAAAAAAAAAACTATCGTAGAAGAGCTGAATTCTTGTGACAATCACTGTATAGTATACACCCCACACGCAAGTTAGACAACCACGACACCCTAAGTCACATGCACCTTTCTCTCCTTTTTCTGACGGAGAAGCACGATGCAAGTTGTTTCGAGACGATTAGGGAACAAAACTTTGAAGCCCTCACTTGATTTAGGGTTTTGGGTATGCAATCATGATGGGTTTTCATGATTTGGGGTTAGATCGCTGATTTAAGGTTAGATTTGGGGGTTAGATGGCTGATTTAGGGTTAGATATAGCTGATTTAAGGTTTGAGGAGTTAGCTGTTTTGGTTTCCTTTTGTTTGCTTGGGGAATAGAAGAAAAAGTTTGATCGCTATATTGAGCGATCAAACTTGGATCACTATTTATGCATTCCAGCGATCAAGTTGCAAACAATCTTGATCCCTTTGACTAATCTTGATCGCTCAACCATCGATCAAAATTTTAACTTCAGTAAATTTCACTTATACCTTAAAATTTTCACTTTTTTTTTTAATTTTTGCCTCATATTTTTTATATTACACCTTCAACTATTAATTAATTTTATATTTCCCCAAATTATTTTACCTATTTTAATTTAACATATTTGATAATTTTGTTATTGTAATAATTTTACCTTAACCCAAAATATAACCCCAAAAAATAGCAATTTTACCCAAAAAAATTGTGATAATGTAACATTTTAATAATATAAATGTGCTAAACTTTAATTGTAATTTAGCCTTGTGAACTTAATAACCTAATCCTAACCTCTAATATTTTTAAAATTTAATGTCACTGTAAAATTTTTCTTACATTTTTATTTCAGGTTTAAATATGATAAATAATTATAATTTTTTAAAACTAATTTTAATTTCTATTATCACTTAAAATAGTGGTGAACTTAGATATTGTAAATTTTTTGTTATATTTTTATTTAGGTTTAAATAAGATAAATAATTATCATTTTTTAAAACTAATTTTAATTTCTATTATCTCCTTTTTTTAAGTGTGTAACGGTTGTATTTATTTTTAAAATGTATACGGGTTAAACCAGTTATAGGTTTTGATAAATTTAAATGGATACGGGTGTCAACCCTACATTCTTTTTAAATTTTCGGTATCGTACCGATTTACACCTTTTCGATATAGAAGGCAACTCCTTAATTGAATTGGTGTTTAACATTTATAATACATTAAATAAATTTTTTTTTTTGGTGTTAACACGAATACGATTCAAAATTAACCACACGCGACCACCCGGTGAGACACGAATTGATACCCTACAAAGAAATAAGATGGCCTACGTCCATTGACTTATACAGGTGATAAACAGCAATAATTGCTATATGGTCTTTAAGTATTCCATTAAATTAGGAACGGCTTGAAATTGACATTCCAATCAAACCCAATTTAATTAGCCCCATGTAACAGAAGAACTCCCAATTAAAAATTAATTAAATTCAAAACACATAAGTTTTAAAAACTTTATTTTTCGGAAATACCATAAAGGTCTTTAACTAAATGCACCTTACATTTAGTTAAACTACATGTGGACCCCCCCTTCTTATCTTAAAAATTTTATTGAGACCCCTTGACGTTTGACAACGTATGACACGAACACCCCCTTTCTTTTGTCGGATGTCGAAAGAAGTAAAGAGAGATAACATCATCAACAACATGTAATATAATACCCAAAACACCCCTTTACAATGTGAGAGACTATATTAACTCAATAAAATGTCTAGTCTACCCTCCCACCTCACTTATAATTTTGACAAATAATGATACAACAATTCAATTATGTTTATTATACTAATCTAATTGACTTAATTATATAAATAATAATAAGTCTAAATTTAGGAATAGAATAATTTATTTTTAAAAAATCTGGTGCATTAATTATGCTAAATTATTTTTAAGAAGAGACCATATCAAAGTTATTCCAATATTTAAGGTATGTTTTACAATAATTAAATTAAAATTTGATCAATTCCCTGATATTTCAAATTAATTCACTAAATCTAATCAATTCATTAGATCAAGTTCATATCCCATGAATTCCCATAGTGATTACGATTTAAAACTAATCAACATTCTAAATATAATAGATTGCATTAATTGAGCTTACCTAACACATATTACACAATTCATATATAATCTATTATTTCCAAATTATGACACCACTAATTAAGCCATTTAATTAGCTATTTTTTTTCCCAATTAAGACACCATTGATTAAGGCAATTTTGTTTCTAAGTTAAAACATCATTAATTAAGCCAATCATCTTTCACCACTGCCCACCAACCTCCTCAATCACCTTTTTTGTATAGTTATTTTAGGGGGGAGAGAGAGAGAGAGAGAGATCAAAACCATTGAATTTGATCTCTGATTGGTGGACGAAGAGATTTTTAGATCCACAATTAGGTTTTGCAGAGGTGCCTGTAAGATGGGGTTGGTGACTGCGAGGTGGAGATGGGGGAGGAGGGGTGGGGGAGTAGGTGGCGGGGGCTGGGTGGGGGAGTGGAGGTGGAAGGCTAAGGGTGTCGTCGATGGTAGGAGAGAGAGAGGTTATTTTATATCGTTTAAAGATTGGGGTTTCAGTACAATTTCTAAAATGTGAGGGGATCCTCATGTAATTAAACCAAATGCCATGTGAGTGTAAATGAAATTTTCCATAATATATTAATCTCCACCTCCATGTGTGATATGTTTGGTTTGGTAGCTCCGGGAGTTGCCCTTTTGGACAACAAATCATCTTCCACTCCGGATGAGTCTTTTTTTTTTAATTGTAAAAGAAATCTCGAATGTACACAACCATCAAAAATAACATGCATCAATTAAACTCATAATAAATGCCAGCACAAAAGCCGACACGTTCTCATTGTAAAGCTATTAATATTACAATAACAAGAACAAATAAAATAAGGGCAGTCATAGGCCAGGAGTTACAAAAACATGGAAGATGGAAGTGAGAAGCCATCTCTGACCAACCCAAGCTCATTCCTAGCAAATATCTATGTAGTACTCTGTAACAATGAAATCTCTAATACTATGATAATCATTAATCAGTGGTAGTAAAAATCAATAATAAGAATTTTAATTTTCTTGACGATTTGTTGGTCTGTAGAGCTTCACTGAGCGCTCGTTTATTGGTTGTACAGGTCTTGCATTAGTTTCTGAGTCCTGTAAAAAAATAATGATCATCATCCAAACATGATTAGATGGTAGGTAAACAACATCATAATTAATGTATAATAAATAAATTATACTTTAGGTTCATGTGTTTTGAGGTAGGAACACTTAAAAGTTTGTTGTTGAATTTTAAGGTCGAGAGTTCGAACTTCGTTATCTCCCTCGCTATAATAATGTATCATGTGAAAAAAAAGTAGACACTTAGCATCCTTATCCATTAAAAACCTATGCATAATCCCAGTTATTTTGGTCCATAATGTAATAACCAAGGAGATAAACAATTTACGTAGAGCAAAGGGAAGAGAATGAAAGAGATTGATTTACTTCATAGGAGAAAATTAGAAAAGAGGTAATATGTAAAAAGTTATAAAAGTAATTATTCAATATAGAATTTCGACGTTTGCTTTTATAATTCGCTATAAAAGTTTAAGTTTCTCCAAAATCACAAGGCATTTGTATAATATTTAAAATATAGGAAAACAATATGTCATTGGATAAAACCACATAGAGTTAATCTATAACTATTATCGATCAACTCTATTGATATATTAGTGGCGTGTCCTAATTATTGGACCTTAAGGTTGCAGATTCAAATAATTTATTTGTTGATAAAGAGAGCAATAATATTAATAACTTACGTCATGAACAGCTTGACGAATTAGTTTTACTTGTTCTCTGCTAGCAGTTCTGACCTGATAAATCCCACAAGGAGCCATTAGCAAACAGTACTTCTCTTGTAAAATCATAATTTTATTACTTGATAATAATTAATGTAAGCTTAGTAGAGCTTACCTTTCTCAGCATGGTCCAGGCAATGTTTTGAGTGCAGGGAGGAGTTGTAAGGGACCCAATGTACCTGTAATACTTTCTGCTCCCCAACTTTAATTGCCTTGGGTCAATTGTACCCACCACCCTCTCTACTCCTCTGATATCAGCAAGGGCTTTTAAATCTTTCCCCATCTGAGGATACACATAGACATCACATCAGTTGTCTTGTATCATGTTATGACTTGTTAAATCTCATAAATCATATTTTTGTAATATTTTTTAAAATTATAGTTGATATATCTATAATCGTACATAATTGAATTTGTATTATATATCCGTTATATTAAGTGATCTGTGTTGTGTTATATCACAAACAAGTTGACCCAAAACTCGATCGGTGTGACAAAGTTCACCCACTTATCATTCATATTCATTAAAAGTAAATTCAAACCCACTAATTTTGTATCAATTCGTGCTGAAATGGTGGATGTCTATAGAATTGCTAGGACTAGATGTACAGAAATATGTGTTTGTGTGTGTGCGAGAGAGAGAGAGAGAGAGAGTAGTTTGTGGGATTACCATCGACAAGAAGGAATCAGGTCGTCCAATCTTATACATAATTCCAAACACAGCAGTTCTACCGTTCGCGCTCTGATGAACCAAGTGCACTTCTAAATCATAACTGTAGCGTAGATTTTAGTATTGTTATTATCATCAATACGTAGTGTAATACACACACTACACACACACAATT